AGGTAGTTGGAATCAGGACTTGGCAAAGAACTAAGCAGCTCACATCTTGTAAGCAGTTGGTGGCAGAATTTTATGAACTAAGGAGCTCACATCTTACAGACATCGTGGTAGAATTAAATGAACTGAGGAGCTCACATATTATAGGCAGTTGGTGGCAGAATTTAAGAAACCAAGGAGCTCATATATTAAAGACATAGTGGCAGAATTAAATGAATTGAGGAGCTCACATCTTATATTAATTATAGGCAGTTGGATCTGTTTAATAGCAGACTTGTTCTTGTACTGTTATGAATCACGGTTTAAGGCCAAACTCAGTAAAGACCCGTCTTTTAAAATTGCATTTAATTGATAAACTCAACAACACTTATCGTTATCTTGATTTTTTTCCGTTAAATAATCAAGAATTTTCTAAATATATACTGCAGAAATTTACACAAAGCAACTTACTTTAAAGAAATCAAATATAAACGGTAACAACTGTCCTTTCCTAGATTTAGATATTTCAGTTTTTCAAGGGAAACTATACACTAAAATTTACAACAAAAGGGACGATTTTTCGTTCTCTATTGTTAATTTTCCTTTTTTGGACAGGGGTGTTCGTTTTGCACCATCTTACTGTGTTTATCACAACTCGTTCGCTATGCCCGTGTCTGTTGTGACGTTTTGGTTTCAATGAACGTAATCTATGTATTACTGGTAATATTAAGTCAGGGATTTTGTTACCACAAATTACTTATAACATTTACTAAATTCTTCCATAGATATAATGATTTGGTTTGGAAGTTTGGTTGTACCTGTAGATTATTTTCAACGGGATAGCACATCCTAATTTTTACGGAGATGTTGTTTACCGAGGCGGGAAATTTATATACGATCCGGGTAAACTTATCGATCCTTTAAATAAACTTTTTCTAAAAGGTTATTAATTCAACACTATAATTAGATCTTTGAATATTGTTTTTATTGGTATTAATATTGATTTTGTTATCAGTAAATTAAAATCAAACTAAATATTATTTTTACATACATATGCACATTCATGGCTCTAAAATCTGTAGATACCTGTATCTTGGCATTGCACAAGGTCATGTTTTTCTCTGACTGGTAATGACATCTTTACACTAAATACATTGGATGTTGGATGTGTATTGATTGATATTTTAGTCTAAGTAAGATTTTTTTTAGTTGTTATTGGCTTTGAACTAGCTGTCAAAAAAATTTGCGGTCGTATATTGGTATGACGTCGTCGTAGTCGTCGTCATCGTCGTCCGAAGACACATTGGTTTTCGCACTCTAACTTTAGTTTAAGTGAATGGATCTCCATGAAATTTTACCATAAGGTTCAATACCACGAATGGAAGGTTGGGATTGATTTTGGGGGTTATGGTACCAACAGTTAAGGAATTAGGGGCCAAAAAGGGGCCAAAAATAAGCATTTTTGTAACTTTCAGACAATAACTTGTGTGTAAGTGTATGGATCTCTCTGACATTGTACCACAAGGTTCCATATCACAAAGGGAAGGCTGTTATTGATTTTGGGGGTAATTGCCTCAAAATTTTAGGAATTAGGGGCCAAAAAAGGGGCAAAAAACAAGCATTTTTCTAGTTTCATGACAATAACTTGTGTGTAAGTGTTTGGATATTTCTGAAATTGTACTACAAGGTTTCATATCACAAAGGGAAAGCTGGAATTGAGTTCGGGGGTAATTGCCTGAAACGTTTAGGAATTGGGGGCCAAAAAGGGGCCAAAAATAAGCATTTTTCTAGTTTCAAGACAATAAATTGTGTTCAAGTGTATGGATCTCTCTGAAATTGTACTGCAAGGTACCATACCACAAAGGGAAGACTGGGATTGAGTTTGGGGGTGATGAATCATAAGGAGGTTCAAAAAATTTGGGGGGGGGGATTTTTTTTTTTTGCTTTTTTTTTTCTTTTAAAATTTTCCATTTTAAGTTGGTTATTTCTGATTTATATTTAAAAGCAAATAATAATGATATGGTAGGAGATACACACCAAACAGGATGTGTAAATTTTTATATAATAAGTATTGTGCAATAGCAAGAAATTTTCAATTGCACAGTATTGCACAATAGCAAGAAATCTTCAATTGCACAGTATTGCGCAATAGCAAGAAATCTTCAATTGCACAGTATTGTGCAATAGCAAGAAATATCCAATAGCACAATATTGGGCAATAGCAAGAAATTGTCAATTGTACAGTATTGCGCAATAGCAAGAAATATTCAATTGCACAGTATTGTGCAAAAGAAGATACTTCTTATAAATTGCTTATTTCTTGATCAATTTCAATGGGGTTTTATTCTTGAATTCTTGGGGTTCTTTAATATGCTGAATATAACCATGTATTAAGTTTTTGGATTTTGGGCCCCGTTTTTAAATTGGTCCACATTGAGGTCCAAAGGGTCCAAAATTTAACTGTTTGATTTCATCAAAAATTTAATTATTGGGGTTCTTTGATATGCCGAATCTAACCGTGTATTTAGATTCTTAATTTTTGGTTCCGTTTTCAAATTGGTCTACATTAAGGTCCAAAGGGTCCAAAATTAAACTTAGTTTGATTTTAACAAAAATTGAATTTTTAGTGTACTTTGATTTGCTGAATCTAAACATGTATTTAGATTTTTGATTATGGGCCCAGTTTTCAAGTTGGTCCAAATCGGGGTCCAAAATTAAACTTTGTTTGATTTCATCAAAAATTGAATATATGGGGTTCTTTGATATGCTGAATCTAACCATGTATTTAGATATTTGGGCCCCGTTATCAACTTTGTCCACATTGAGGTCAAAAGGGTCCAAAATTAAACTTTGTTTGATTTCATCAAAAATTGAATTCTTGGGGTTCTTTGATATGCTGAATCTAACCATGTATTTAGATTTTGGATATTGGACCATAATAGGTGAATGTCCAATTTAAAATTTTTAAGTTCTTAGACCACATTCATTCTGTGTCAGAAACCTATGCTGTGTCAAATATTTAATCACAATCCAAATTCAGAGCTGTATCAAGCTTGAATGTTGTGTCCATACTTGCCCCAACTGTTCAGGGTTCGACCTCTGCGGTCGTATCAAGCTGCGCCCTGGGAGCATTTTATTATAGTTTGTTCTTGTGCTGTACTTTTACGCCACTGTCCCAGGTTAGGGGAGGGTTAGCGCGCCTTCAAACTAGTTTAAACCCGCCACATTCTGTATGTGCCTGTCCCAAGTCAGGAGCCTGTAATTCAGTAGTTGTCGTTTGTTGCTATATATCATATTTGTTTTTCGTTCATTATTTTGTACATAAATCAGGCTGTTAGTTTTCTCATTTGAATTGGTTTACATTTGTCATTTACGGGCCTTTTATAGCTGACTATGCGGTATGGGTTTTACTCATTGTTGAAGGCCATACCGGGACCTATAGTTGTTAATTTCTGTGTCATTTGGTCTCTTGTGGAGAGTTGTCTCATTGGCAATCATACCACATTTTTTATAGTCGGTGGCAGAATTTAAGGAACCAAGGAGATCACATCTTACAGGCAAATCAAATTGTTCCCTCTTCCACTTGTAGTTCTCTTCTATATTTCAGCAAACACCGTCGATGATCATTTGCAAATGAAACTTTTGAAGTCTTTCAACAAATTCTACCATTCTGACAATGGGACTATATAATCCTATACTTTCTTTCCTAAACTTAAAACTGGACACAGAAAAGTGAGGTGAAATGGATAAACTGTATAAAATACGTAGACCACAACCTTACCTAAAATGACAAATGATTTCATTGACAAACACTCAATAAGTCTAAAACAGGGGCCTCGGTGGCCGAGTGGTCTAAGTAGTTACTACTGTAATCACTAGCCAGTCAGCACTGAGGTTGTGAGTTGGAACCCCGCTTGTGCGGGTGCACTCGACTCCAATCTTAATTGACTAGGATTGTCAGTTTTCCTATCGAAGGTTGGTGGTTTTCTCCAGCTTCCTCCACCAATAAAAACTGGCCGCCACGAAATAGCCCAAAAGCGGTGCTTAAAAGTGGCGTTAAAACACCAAAAATCAAATCAATCAACCAATAAGTCTAAAACAAAACAAAATATACAGCTGCGCCATGAGCGCATGAAACGCCCATCGCTTTTTCAATAGATATAAACCAGTCACCGAAGTTTCATGAGAACTGCTCAAAGCATTTTTGAGTAATTGTCCGTAAAAGGGAAAATCCCCATTTTTTAATGAACAAAACCCCATAACTCAGAAGTAAAATCTAAAATTTATAAAAATCGAAAGGTCAATAGATATAAACAAATTCACCAAAGTTTCATGAAAACTGTTCTAATCATTTTTGAGTTATTGTCTGAAAACTAGAAAATCCCCCTTTTTAATGAATAAAACCCCATAACTCGGAAACATAAAATCTAAAATTTTAGGGGCAATATTTCAATAGTAAATTGTCCGATTTTTCTGAAAATTAAATAGGACCTTGTTGATCTTTTATACCCCCATGTCAGTACTGCTCTAACTGCTTTAGTTTTTGAAGTACAAGCCAAAAACTGCAGTTATCACCTTTGTTCTATTTTTTAGCATAGGTGGTCATGATTGTTGATAGAACATATCCCTAAATATCATTTTTAAGCTATATTCCCTAAGGAACATTCAGTTAAAGATTGTTAACACTTGGCCCAGCAGTTCCAGAGGAGGAGATTTTATAAAAAGTTTAGAACAATGATACGCCAAGTGATGGTAATAGCTCACAAGACCTTTTAGGCCAGGTGAGTTAATAAAAGATCTGTGTGGTATTTGTCACATGAGACCACAAATCAAGGAAAGTAAAAAAACACTAAAGAATAACTTACATACCACATGTTTCAATATATTGTATAGTTCTAGAATGGAAAGCAAGGTATATAATTCTTTGATGGTGGTAAACAAAAACTGAACTGCCTTGAGTGGAGATATATCTTATCCCCAAAAAGCAGTTACAGAGTATTAAACTTCATGTGAACAAAAATAAATGAAAGACAAGGATAATTTTAATGCAATATTATAACAATGAAATAAATATATTGAATTAAAGTATAACAAAGAAAATAATGCTTATATCAAATGGAAAAATAGACAAAAAGATCTATTTACAGTTTGAATTTATATGAAATATATTTGTAAAATCAGTCAAGATGTATGCGATTAATATGAAAAATGCAAAGAAGAATTAAAACATATTGTGCAACTTATATGTCAAGTAGAAAATAATAAATGGGAGCACAGAATAAGCACAATATACACAGCAACATCTGTATCATATATGTGTCAATTTCTATTATCTTGAATATAAAATCTACTGAAAAAGTTGTTTCCGATTGTTTCTTAAGAAATTTATGTAGTTTTTGCAGAAAATTAATCATGTTTGAGAGCGTTTTTTCAATCACAGGGTTCTTACTCAGATGAATTCACAAATCTGGTACTTCTGATAATCAAGTTGGCCTCATTATATTCTTAACTTCAAAGTCTATAGATTCTTAGATGCATCAAGATTGTCCGGTCAACAGTTTTTTGCAAAAATTTCATAAACTGTTGAGAAGATATGTCTTGCATTTGAAATTTTGATTTAAAAAATGCAAATGTTGAAATTAAAACGGGTATTTTTAAACATGCAAACTATGCAATAAACCATGACTGAAGGTGCAGGGCCAAATAAACTCCATCAAAATGAGAAATGCCAATTCTTATAAAACTGCATACCAAATACCATTGACTTAAGTGGTTCCCTTTTAACTAACCTACAACAAGCTTTAACTAGTAAAATATGCAAATGTTTTAAAGTCAATGAACCATGATTATAGGGCGGGGCCATATAATCTCCATGAAAATGAGAATTGCAAATGCTTATGCAACTGCATACCATCTATCATTTACATAATATTAGTGGTTTATGTTAAACTGATCTAATTACAAACTTTTAACTTGTAAACAATGCAAAATATTCAAAGTCAATAGACCATAACTGAGGGGGAGGAGCCAAATAATCTCCATTGCAATGAAGATGAGCGAAAGCTAATACATCTGCACACCAAATATCACTGACCTACCATTAATGTTCCCCCTAAACGACAAGTTACAGTAAATGGGCTATGTCACAGATTTTGGTAAAATTTTGCATACAACTTTGGCTCATTGAACTATAACTGAAAATTGAAAAAATAATGCATTTATCTCTTTTTATCATCTGAAATATTGCTGATTGAAGTCTTTCATAATAGGGGAACATTTGTATAGAAAGCACATAAAATCGGCAAAAAACCTTCTTGAATTTGTCTTAAAATCATAAAATCTCTAATTTAAAACACATAGATTTTTCTTAAAAAACTATATGTTGTTGATACATAAATTTTCATTTTTTGACTGAGGGGGCGGGCCAAATAATCTCTATCGAAATGGACATGCCAATGCTTATACAACTGAATACCAAATATTATGGGCCTACCACTAGTGGTTTCACATAAACCGACCTAATCACAAACTAATATATTGTTGACACTGCCGGAAATTGTGAAATTACATGTAAAATTTTACAAGGAAAAAAAAAAAAAGTCTTGCATTTGTAAAAATTTAGATCTGAAAGTGTCTAAATAAAACAGATAAAAATGAATTGTGAAAGTGATCACATTAAACAGATAAACTGATTTCATAAGGCTCCAACCATTCATCTTTTGTCGGGGGCATGGGTTTTTTTCTCAGAAAAACATTTTTTCCCCTGACTTTAATAATAAAAAAAAAAAAAAATATTTTCAATACCAAAGAGGAACAATAATATTTTTTTGAACCTCACTGTTGAATCTTTTTTTTACCTAATTTTCAAAGGAAACAAACTATTATTTTGTTTTACTTCCCTGCTGAAACAGATCAATTCTATTCAAGAAACTAAAAAATCAACAAATTATTTAAAAATAAAAAATACATGCCTCCTTCCCAAAAAAGATGAAAGGTTGGTGCCTAATACAAATTTCACCTGAAAATTTATTGATAATACAGACAGTTCATCAAAGTGAACCGCTTTGCAGTCTAGATATTTAATAATAATCTCTCAATCACAGTAACTGTTCAGTCAATCACAAAACATGATATGATTTTAAAACAAGCATACACAAGAATAAATTAAACTTAACAAATAATAGCATTATATTTAACCTAACAAATCATCAAGGTCACTTTGACCTAATTTCTTAGTAGGTTGTGTCTGTGAAAATTGCTGTGATCCCATTGGCTGTAAACCAAATGAATTTTGACCAGTCATTGTATTAATTGGTTGATTATTAAACATTGCACCTCCTCCCATATTATGTCCGGTATATCCCATAGTCCCAGTTTGCATGTTTGGCATTCCAGGAGACTGAAACTGCCCATAAGTATTTGAACTTGTATTAAAATTACCACCATATGCATTTAAATTTCCACCCATCATGGAATTCTGAGGACTATAATTCATAGAGCTAGGATTAATTTGTCTGGCAGGTGATGACATTTGGTTAATTGTAGGTTTCTGTTGTGCTGAAGTTGGCAGTAAACTGTCAAATGCCGAAAGATCCATTTTTTGTGTTGTCTGTTGACCTTGGCCTCCAAACTGCCTACTACTTCCAAGACCTTGACCTCCTGAAGAAGCCATATTACCCATCATGCCACCACCTGTATAATTTGGTCTATTACCACTTTGTCCCACTGCACTATAATTTGAAGTCACTGAAGTGTTTGCATTATAATTAGATGAACTTTGACCCATTTGTTGATAATTTGGTACAGATTTAGGAGATGTTTGCATTCCCCTTAAGTTAGCATTCATTAATGATGATGTCAAATCTTTAACTTGATTGGTTGGTTTAGTAGTCTGCTGTTTACTTTGGGCAGGTTTATCTGTTGTCATGGTGAGTGGTGTTTGTGCCTTAAAATTTCTCTGTTGTTCTTGTTCTTTGGCTAATCTTTGCTTTTCTTCCATTGTAAGTACCTGAAATTATATTATAGTTCTATTATTTGCCAATAAAACTTTAGTGCAAGTTGTACAAAAAAACTGCTGACACAGTTTGTCTCACCTGTATAAAGTGTAAAGTATGCAAAAGTTTCAATTTGAATGGACTGAGGAGACAGGGTCTAATAATCTGCATGCAAATGAGATCTGCCAATGGTAATACAAGAGCCTACCAATATTATTGATTTACCATTAGTTGTTTACCCTCTATAAATAAAGAATTTACTATTATTATTAATATGTTCCCTAGCTTAAACTGACCTAATCACAAACTTTATAACAATTATTTCTGCCGCCAATGCAGACATAAAACAGAGAGAGAATAGTAAATAAATAATGAAAACTTCACAGGATTTATTGCGGCATATCAACAAAGTTTATTATAAGTTCAAATTTAGCTTCTTTTTTTTTGTAGGTTGTTTTACCTTTTGCCAGTTGTCTCCTTAAAATCCTGAACTTCCTTTTTTATACTTTTTGTTAAAATTCTAAGGGGTACTGTGGATTCATCATTTTTTGTTGGATATCAATTTTCGTGGATTTTGTGGGTACAGGTGAACCACGAATTTAAATGTTTAACGAATTACAAATTTCCCATAAGGTTGTATGCAGACTTCGGCAAAACCACGAAATTAAATATCCACGAAAATACAGGTTTTCATCAATCCACGAAAATTGGTACCCACGAAAATAAATGAATCCACAGTATGTACATTTGTTGTTTATACAGTACTACAACTTAAATTCACAATTACAACACGTGTAGAAGAAATTTTAAGACGGAGGTCTGCATTTTATATATATTCTGTTGTTTCCTATGAAATGAAATTTATTGTAACAATTTTGATGTTGTAAAAAACAATACCATTTTGATGAAACAAATGAATATGTGAAATATATAGTTAAATCAATTAATAGTTTTTACAAGCTTGGTTTGAACCAGTTTTATATTTCTCCATGATTTGGCTACCTGAGTACCTGCCACAAAGAAGACAAGGAAAAACTCCATTGTTTTCATACAAATTTCATGTGAACGAGGACTGTTATTATTATGTAAAGACTAAGAAAATATTTTTTTATAAACATGAGAACTGACTCAGCAATACATTTTCTCATGCAAGATCCTCATATTTACTCAGAAAGGTTTAATATCATTTCCCATATGCTCCCTTTAATAAGGGACATTGGCTTGTAATACAAGAACCAGTTCACAAAATACAGTTTTAGAATTTCTTGAGTTTTTAATGATAAGATAGCAAAAGACATAGCATATTATAAAACAAAGAACACTCTGTTCTTCATGCAATATGTGCTATTTACAAAATTAACATTCAATTACTTAAATAAGCATACAGCATGAAACTGTATTGCAATATTACTGAATCAAATCTTATCTGCAGAAAATTACAAAGTTCAAAATATAAAGCTAGTCAATATAGATATTTGGAAATATTCTTTTTAAAATTATAAGACATATCAAGATAAGGTTTAATTTAGGACTGAAATTCAACAACCCACAGACACAAAGCTTGGTTGAACAGATAAGACAATACCAGTGAACTGTTGAACTGTGGGTAATTCAGTATGGCAAGTATCAGTTTATAAGTATAAATATTACATTTAAGGTAAAAAAAAAATGATTTAACATGTAATACACTTAAATGGAGATTCAATCTTATTTCACTTTTTACTTGTCCACTACCCTAATGAACATGTTGAAAGTGAAGATCTTGCAACACCGGCTTTAAGGTATAAATATTCTGATGACCCTACATCATGATTATTCATGATGATTTTTTTATCCTATCAGTTACAGCTTTATAAAAGCAACAGTCTTCTTGTGGGTTAGCTTCAACTTCTTATTCTGGTATTTCTTTTCAACCAATTCACCAGTAGACTTCACTTATATGTAAAAGTTCGAAAACATAAGTTTAATTTCAAATAAGTGCACCTAGATATAAATAGGCCTTTTAAATCCATTTTATTTCTCAGATGCTCACATGCTAGAAGTCATCTGTAAAAAGACTTATCATTCATAAATAAAAAAATACAAGCACTTCCAAATAAAAAAAAAAATGCATATAGTTATTGCCCTTCACAAAGCGATCTTCCATAAAAATAGAAGACTAGATCTAATGATTTGTTGAAAAAAGGTCATGACATGGGATCATCAGAATATGACCCTAAAGCTGGTATTTTAAGATCTTTGTTAAGTACGGCAAATTCAGAAATTATTGTGTTCATTTATTACTGCGATTTTTTAAGAAAGGACAAAATTGCGAGACTAATGATTCCCATTTCAGGAAAAACTGCATACAGTTATATGTATCTAACATCAGAATGCGAGTTTTATTTGTGCGATACTCACTCAGTCACATTATTCACATTAATAAAAACCTCGGAATAATTTCTGAATTTACAGTAGCCTAGTGGACAAGTAAAAAGAATGGAGATCCTTTGTTGAGCTTTGAGGTGTTAAGCAGTGAAAACAGAGTAAAAAGAAAGCAGAATAAATACATTCTGAAAAACAAAAAAAATATTTCACCAAACTTTTAGAACGAGAATTATCTCACCCTGCTCTTAATAACTCGGTCCTGCAACAGATGTTCCTATGATAAAACAATAGAGGATAAATCAAAAATAGGCTAAATGACAAATTCTGATTTTCCCCATTTTCAATTATCTCTATGCTTCCTCAACTTATAAAGATACATAATATTTAATTTGGAAGCCTTTTCCTGAATTTGCATGAACTATTTGCTACTGGGCATTTAGTCAACAGAAATAAATCAATTAACCTATGTGTAATACCACCAAATATTAGTACATCACATCCGGTTGCATATGGGTGTTTCAAAGCACCATTATTGTTTTATTTGGTGTTTCTATAGAATATTTTGGAAACTTGAGATTACAAGGTTACTAAAGCTTGTACACAGGAAAAAAAGGGGTGAAAATTTGATTGGTTAACTTCCAGTGATGGTTATTTTCTTATATGCAATGAAATGTTATGTAAAATTTTGTCTATAGTACTGGACAGGATAAAACTTTTACTCATGCCAAGTATTTCTTTATTTGAAACAAAGATTAATTCTGCTCAATTTTTTGAAAAGTGCAAATTTAACAAAGACTAATAGGGGAAAATCAATGGTGGTATTACACCTCTATGCAAGTTTTATCAATGAAGCTCTAAAGGATAAAATAAGACAGTAAATGCTGAAACAATTCATACTATCTTTATTTTTCCAAACCTTAGCTGACTGTGATGATGATGATGATGGTGGTTTTGGTGAATTAGACCGACTATCCACTGGTGAGGCTGTAGAAGAGTTGTCTCCTCCACCTCCAGCTTTTGAGTTCATTAATCCACTCATGCCAAATCCACTCAGGAATTTATCCATCTGAAAAGTAAAAATTTCATGAGTTAATCCTCTCATTTCAGCAGTACAAGTAAAAACAAAACATTATGTTAAAAAAAATATCTAAAAGAACTAGGGATGTCAACTCGGTGAACCATTACTAATCCGAGTACTAGTTGGTTTTATCGAGAGATACTCGAGTACTCACTCGGGAATATATATATACAACACGGAAAATACGTACTTTAAATGTTCAACGGACGAAAATCATCTACATAAGTAAGTATCTGGGACAAGGAATTACACACCATAATTAATAGCTCATTACCTACAAGTACTAATTAAGTAAAAAAATACAATAATCTAATCAATATATAATTTAATGAACACCTATTTAAAAATTACAACAAGGAAAAACCATATCAAACAATGGTATTTGGTAATCGTTAAGAAAACACATTTAATGTTTACAAAGACGTAAGGATTAGAAGTTTACTATTCACTGAGGGTCACCAGAGGATGCAACGAAATTTATTTTATTTGGTCACATTTTCTTGTCAACTATTATTGGGGACAGTCGGTTTTGCAACTTTGTAAATTACAGTCTTGCAGACGAAAATATTTGCTATGACGGTACCGATGTGATGGAATGGCTAAGACATGTTTAGTTTAAAGTGTTAGCTTAGGTAAAGCCTACGTATTTTCGGAGGCATTTAAAATGACAATATAGCATTCAAAACAAAATGTATTTTATTTGCTAGTATGATTAATCAGTGATGCCTATTTAATTTTCTAAAAGAGGTTCTCAAGAAGATCAATTTATATAAAGAAGATAGCAATATTCTGACAGAAAATCGATTAGTCGAGTATCATTTTGGTATTTGATACTCTGTACTAACGAGCAATCTTCGAATACTCGAGTACTCGTTGACATCCTTAATAACTAATTATTTAATCTGCCGTTTCTAGCAAGTTCATACTAAAGGAAGGGGTTCGAGATTGGTTCTAGCCATTTGCAAAATTGGCAAGGTGAGCTTTGTAACTATTTTTGTATAATACAGTTTGTTATTTACTACCATAATCCAGATACTGATCTTTCCACCAGCAGTAGAACTTACTGACAGGATAACATATAAAAGGTGGCGTTAAACACCACAAAACAAACAATATGCAGCTATAAATATTTACAGTCCTACATTATGTTGATATTTATATTTTAGCATTGCACAAGATCATGTTTTTATCTGACTGTTGATGATATCTTTCACTAAATCCATTGGATGTGTACTGATTGATATTTAGTCTTGGATACAAGATTGTTTTTATGAGTTATTGGCTTTGAACTAGCTTTCAATAACTGCAAGTATTCTCAGATCAGTACTTTGTGTCTTTTTGTTTGTTGTTTTTTTGTATGCTTTGTGTTGATCGGATAAGTCAAGTCTTTTTCAACTGATTTTTATAGTTTGTTCTTATGTTGTGTTGTTACACCACTGTCCTAAGTAAGGGGAGGGTTTTAACCCCGCCACAATCTGTATGTCCGAAATTCGTGGTTATGGTTTGTTGCTGTATATGATTTTTGTGTTTGTTTGTTGTTTTGTACATAAATCAGGCTGTAAGTTCTCTCCATTGAATTGTTTTACATTTGTCATGTCAGGCACTTTTATGACTTGCTATTCAGTATGGATTTAACTCATTGTTGAAGGCTGTACAGTGACCTTCAGTTGATTTTGCGTCATATGGTCTCTAGTGGAAATTTGTCTCATTGGCATCATACCACATCTCCTTATTTTTAGAAGAATAAGGGAAATATATTTAATCATTTTACTGTCAAATAACAAATTTGTATATAATTTCTTTTGTGAACAGTCCTATAATCACCAACTAAAATGAACCTTTAAATTTTTCAGGATATTATAACATAACATTGCGCATTTCATGGGAAAAACTGGTTAGTAAGAGCATAAGTCAATGGAAAGGACAAACATATTATAATTACCATAGATTGTGGTCCTTGTCCTACATTACCAACTAATTGTTGTTGTTCTTTACCAGTCAGCTGGGTGATTTCTACAGTACTGAAACAATAATAGTAACAACATTAACATCTAGCTTCATTTTTTTAGTTTACTTATATCTGACTACATGGAGGTATATGTTGGTGAAAGCAATCAATTAATATACTTCATTTTTTCACCCATTCCAATCCAATCCAACTCCAAATTATATTTTGTAGACAACAACACAACACAGTTTCCAGCAAATATGATTATTATTTTTTTTTCCATGACTATAATTCTATAACAAGTATGTCAACTGGTGAGAAACATGCACTTCATCAACTTCTTACATTTTCCCCACAGCTAGGTATGCATAAGAACATCCTGATGGCTACAGGATGACGGTGTGATCTTACATTGGTACACCAAGTCCAAGTGGAATAAGTATTTTACATCCCCACTGTTCTATGATTCATATCTAAAGCAGCAATCTTATTTCATTCTTTGTAGTTCAACATTATTTGTAACATTCTTTTTGATTGGATAATGCCACAAAATTATAGCCCATCAATTACCCAATTGATGTTCTCAGTTGAAGATCCAGGATTTTGAAAAAGGGGTTACCAACAAGGCAACATTAGGAGTAGGACTTGTAGAAATGTATGCATTAACCATATTAGAAGTTCCATAAGGGAATATTGTGCAACAAAGCACATACATTGTGTGAATGATGGATTGATTTGATGGTCGCAAATATCCATTTACTGGCTCCACTGATTTTAAAATGTATGATTTAGCTGTGTTTTCTTTCAGTTGCATTTTGATTTGATGGTCACAAATATCCATTCACTTGATCCAACAATACATTACCAAAAAACTCAATTTGCCACCATCAAGATAATAAAATGATGCCAACAATTCCTGAAATATCATATAATTATCTCCTAAATCATGACAAATGTAATGAACTTCCTAAAATATATATAGTAACAGGATTATAATACCGAAAACTTTGTGACCGAATAATATACCCTGTCACCCCCACACAAAACAAAACACAATAAAAGATTCACTTCACAACTTTTACACTACATTGTATTAAAATATTAGTTTGTAATGTGACAAAGCATAACAAAATTGTTTGTGTACATACATGTAAGAGTGAACCTTATAAAAAAAATAATTTAATTTTGGATGTAAAGCGTCTTCTGATTGACTGACGTTGTTTTGTTTATCAGCTCATAGACATAATTTTGTCATGTGACCGTGAGGTCATCAACGTTTTTTCATGGTTTACTCTGGTTTAAAATGGCATTTAGAATTAAATTATAAGAAATGACTGTAATATATTTTCTGTCTATACCAAATAACATAAAAAATGTGGTGCACACTTTAAAATAACCCGCTACACCGGTTATTCAGTGTGCACCACATTTTTGATGTTATTTCTTCATAGACAGAAAAAATATTACAGTCATTCCTTCAATACAAAATACATAATACATGGATAGTCTTTTGATCAAATAATTGATGGACTGCAGATTTCCAGTAAAGATTTGTCACCTGAAAATTTAATCAGCTTTAGACATCTTGTGGATCTTGTTATGTTTCTTACATTCCACAGAAACTTTTAATTTTATTTTAATACATGAAGGGTTCAATTTTTCCTTTAATTCTTTTCCCATTTTACTGCTGGATTAAAATAAAAATGTCACAACATTTATAATATGAACTGAACTGAATCTTCATGCAATTTCTGCATTCACTCTTACATATTTATACAATTTAAATTAGGGAGTCTTTGTACAATTCTGGTTATAAATAGATATTTATAAGAGTTAGGAGTGAAGAAGAAAATTGTATGCGACAAAAGTGAGCTATGAACACAAAGCATTTTAGAAAGGACTGTCTACCCACTAACAGATTACCTTTTCATACTCTGCAGTATTTGTTCTTCATTTACACTATACAAGATATAAGTAAGACAGATAGTTTCTCAAGTGCATATTAGTATTAAAGTCATGAACAATTTGGACTAGATAAAAAGCTTCAATTAAACTACTTCAATAAATAATTTCAAGTATGGTAAAAAATGTCATACAGAAAAAGATTGTACTGTTTCAATATACTTCCACGAGGTTTATTCAAGTCCTTCAATAAAAAAAAGTCCATTTTTTGTGTGGGGAAACATGTTTATTGATCATTATGCCTCAAAGTAAACATGACTAAACTCAAACTGCTGTGATCTTTGCTCACAAAATTAAACGCTCTTGATGAGCTTGCAACATCCATATTTAGATATGAGGAAACTCAAAATTCACTGAAATTCAAATAATTAGATTCTTATCAATTAATTTAATCATAATATTTGTCTCTGGGCGCAGGTCAGTTATTTCTTTTTCTAACCATGTGACTGGATGACCTAGTTATTCTTCAAAATCCTCAAACTTATAAAATGTTATATTGCAGGTTTGTGGTAGTTTTTTATGCTTAATCTTTGCTATAAAGCATTACAAACAAGAATGCATGCATTGTCATGCTAAACATAGTATCACAGTATCAGCTAACAGGAAGTAGGTGTTGACAATTCAAAAAGATGTCACATGACATTATCATGCAAAACATAGCATCATAGTATCTGCAAACAGGAATTGGTGTTGACAATTCGAAAAAGATGTCACACATCACTGTCATACTGCTGACCAAATTTGAAATGATGTTTTGTAGTACTAGAGAAATGTGGGACTAAACATTTTTATTATTAGCAAACAGGAAGTAGGTGACTGACACATTCAAAACGAGCTCACACTTTACAACTCATCACTGTTAAGCTGCTGACTAAATATGAAATCATTCTGTTCAGTAGTCTCTGAAAAATGTGACGGAAAATTTGTTGGACAAACAGACAGACAGACAGACAGACAAGGTGAATGCAATATAGCACCCAATTCAAGAGTGGGCATATAATAATATGAAGTTGAGTGAATACCTATGTTCTTTTTTCATTTGGTCCAACTGTTCTAGTTTACTTCTGTGTTCTTGTTCCACTTTTGTCATCATTTCTTTAATTACACCAAAAAATGCATTAAACTGCAAAACATACATGTAAAATTAATTATTATTACTACCATGACAGTAATTCCATGTGGTTTTTATACACTCTTTATTTAAGAAAATATCATTTAAGTAGAAATTTGTAAGGGTTCCGGGGAACCCAGTGTCTCGCCTACTTTTGCTGTTAGTTGCAGGCTCAACAAAAATAGAGAAAAAATTATTACAAATTTTCCTCTAGATACTATCTTTTGATTGTAAGAAGCTTCTGTCCAAGTTTGGTAAAAAACCAGGATGAATCTAATAAATGTTTTAAAAACTTTAACTGCAGACTGTATGTAATGTTAACTGGAAGAAAAACTAAGTCCATTTATAAGTAATATACAGAAAAACAGGAAATAAGTTTTTACAAAATTTCCTTCTAGATACTAGCTTTTGATCATAAACAAGCTTCTGTCTAAATTTGGTACAAATCCAGGATAGTTTAAGAAAGTTTTTAAAACTTTCACCACAGAGTGAATGTAATGTAAACTGGCAGAAAAACTAAGTCCATTTATAAGTAAAATACAGATAAACAGGATTTTTTTTTTTCAAAATTTACTTCTGGATACTATCTTATGATCATAAACAAGCTTCTGTCTAAGTTTGGTACAAATCCAGGATAGTTTAAGAAAGTTATTAAAATTTCAAAAACTTGAACCACAGAGTGAAAATTTGTGGACGCCGCCGCCGATGGAATGAAGGATCGCTGTGTCTCACTTTTGCGACAAAAGTCGCAGGCTCGACAAAAATGTATAAATCTAAGATTATAGTATGAGTGTCAATGAGACAATAGTAATATGTTTGGATTTTCTTTAACTGTGGCTGTTTATGGTAATGCTGTCTCCCCCTGTTGCAACTTAACATCTGCTATGGACACAGATATTTACTCCCATCAAATATCTGAGAGAGAACACAGAAACACACCTTTTATGGAATCAAGGAACAGAATTCTTAACAGAATATTGGACATTAAAAACAAAGATACTTTTATTACTTTCAGACTTTATGAAGCTTTATGCCAATTCAATATATATTACTCTTACCTTAACCTTTTACAACAGGAAGGTGGTTCATTAACGATTTACATTAATTGTCACAAAATGCAAAGCAAGTCTATTTTTTACTATATAAATCATTAATGATAAACTAACCTGAGACAGATTAATATTATTATCGATGCTGAGTGGTATCAGGAATGGTAAAACTTTAGTAGCCATTATGTCTTTTGTTATCCCCAACTTAGCATGAGTCATAGTCACCTGATAAATACCTGAAATCAGTATTTTCTATGATTAAGAAACTTCTATTCAGTGTTAAAATGTCCTTTCTTTATATTGATAATTGGTATTTATTTTGAAAAATTGGGTCTTTTCTACAGGTTAAATCATATCTTTCATAGTTTTGTTAAAACTTTAATATTTTATGAATACCAGTTACCATTTTGAAGCATGTGGTATCATCAATAAATGGCAAATAACAGATTTAATCTATATAAATCAAATTAATGTTTTGACAATTTATCTTAATTATTCTACCTCTTAATTTCTGTTATGATTCATATTTATGGTAAATGTAAAGATTGATTTCTGATGTTGTAAGTTTCAAGCAATATTAATGTAAATAATGTAGCACATGTTAAAGACAATAAATAACTTTGTGTGTTTTTGTCAATTATCCTCAAGTAATACTAGTTCATCATATATTCATATAATAAAAGAATTTTTAATTTACATGGTGTCAAAGGGAGATAAATCATAATTTAGAATAAATAGTTTACCTAATATACTCATCAAAACAGCTGGTTCTTTGGAAGGTACTTGAGGAAGGAATGGTAGTATATCATCTAACACAGTCCATTTATCCATGTATTCTAACAGTTTACCAACACATAGTAGACAATGAACTCTAATCTGCAATGAAAAGTGTTTCGATCTGAATATGCATTAATATGTCATATCATATAAAAGATAATATAAAATAATAAATACTGAACAAAATGTACTGAAAAAATGTATTTAATTATAGAAAAGAGAAAAAATATCTACTGTGGATTCATTTATTTTCCTGGGTTCCACTTTTCGTGGATTGAGGAAAACTTGCATTTTCCTGGATATTTGATTTCGTGGTTTTGCCAAAGTCTGCATATTTATAATTTGTTGAACATTTAATTTCGTGGTTCACCTGTACCCACCAAATCCAATTGGTATCCAGCAAATAATAATGAATTCACAGTAACACAATTTGTGAGAGATAAAGAAATTGTTCTTGTTACAGCAGATAAATAATGATCAATCATCTTGCATATACAACAATGTCACACTTTCCCAACAAATCTTATAAACACTCAGACAGTAAGTGAATCACTGCTCCTATTCTTTTCAAATTCCTTAAACAAGTAATCTTTTATATGTTTTACCAATTTTCTTGCAAGTTGTAAATTCTGCTTTATTTTTATTTGGTGTTATAAAAAAAACTTTTCAGGCCTAAAAGCATAATTACTGAGACTGAAAGTAGGTAAATACTGAACAAGCAGTTCTCCTGAAAAGTATAAATAACAACTTATATTTTTTAAATAGCCCTTGAATAAAATTTGAAATGAGTAATCAATTGTTTTGTCAAAGTTAGCATATAAATTTATTTAAAAAAATGTCCAAAATGCAAAAGTCTTTTTTGTATATATTGAGTCTTACTTCCAAGTACATGTATTCATATCATGATAATTTACCTTGAGTGTAGATGTTCCTAAACAAATCTTTTTAATTCTTGGTAATATGTGTGACTTCAGTGAAGAGAAGTCTATTAACTCAGCAAATGTTGGAATGATGTTTAAACAGATTTCCTGTAAAATAAATGGTGATTTAGAATATTTTCTACATAATTCAGACAACATCTTAAATCAAAGCATAAAAGTATACGTATAAAAGAGCATAAAACTGGATATATTCATATTACCTATATAACTGGATAAACTATAAGTGTTGTCATGTTTTTTTCTTTGTAAAAAGAGTATAACTCTTGCTTATTTGAAAACCTTTTTTTTTCAACAAGTTGTCAAAACCCTGATAATTTGTCACCAATACATTTTTTTATTTAAATGTTGCTGTTTTAGTGGTTAGTGAACAAATATTTATTGTAAACTAAGGATTATTCTTTGTTTCAATTTCAAATTGTAAGCTTTTAAAAATTCTTGATATATTACAATGTCAGTGCAAATTTTTTTCTAACAGTCTTCAAAGAGAGACAACTGTTATATCTCTCTTGAGTAACAATTTTCTGATATAAATTCTCAATTAACAGACTTCTTTTCCAAAGAAAGATAAAACCTTATTACATAATAAATACAGGACGGACAACAGTTAATAAAACATTGCAATTATTTGTAAATCTTAGGGTTATTTGTTTTCAAATGTAGTTACCTGTAACTGTGGACTATTCTGATCTAATGCTTGATATATCAAGGGTAAAACATTGTTCCGTATCTGTGACTGTCCTTAGATGTAACTGTGGACTATTCTGATCTAATGCTTGATATATCAAGGGTAAAACATTGTTCCGTATCTGTGACTGTCCTTAGAAGTAACTGTGGACTATTCTGATCTAATGCGTGATATATCATGGGTAAAACATTGTTCCGTATCTGTGACTGTCCTTAGATGTAACTGTGGACTATTCTGATCTAATGCGTGATATATCATGGGTAAAACATTGTTCCCTATCTGTGACTGTCCTTACCTGTAACTGTGGACTATTCTGATCTAATGCTTGATATATCAAGGGTAAAACATTGTTCCCTATCTGTGACTGTCCTTACCTGTAACTGTGGACTATTCTGATCTAATGCGTGATATATCAAGGGTAAAACATTGTTCCATATCTCTGACGGTTCTTACCTGTAACTGTGGACTATTCTGATCTAATGCTTGATATATCAAGGGTAAAACATTGTTCCCTATCTGTGACTGTCCTTACCTGTAACTGTGGACTATTCTGATCTAATGCGTGATATATCAAGGGTAAAACATTGTTCCATATCTCTGACGGTTCTTACCTGTAACTGTGGACTATTCTGATCTAATGATTGATATATCAACGCCAACGGTAAAACATTGTTCCCTATCTGTGACAGTCCTTACCTGTAACTGTGGACTATTCTGATCTAATGCTTGATATATCAAGGGTAAAACATTGTTCCGTATCTGTGACTGTCCTTACCTGTAACTGTGGACTATTCTGATCCAATGCTTGATATATCATTGGTAAAATATTGTTCTATATCTGATATATCAAGGGTAAAATATTGTTCCATATCTCTGACGGTCCTTACCTGTAACTGTGGACTATTCTGATCTAATGCTTGATATATCATGGGTAAAACATTGTTCCATATTTGTGATGGTCCTTACCTGTAACTGTGGACTATTCTGATCCAATGCTTGATATATCATTGGTAAAATATTGTTCTATATCTGATATATCAAGGGTAAAATATTGTTCAATATCTCTGACGGTCCTTACCTGTAGCTGTGGACTATTCTGATCCAATGCTTGATATATCATTGGTAAAACATGGTTTTTTATTTCTGATTGAGGAGTTTTCTTTAATAATAGATTCATATTTTGCATAAACAGGAGTAATATCTGCAAATATAGTTCAAATAAAAAATAATTACAAATCTGATTTGATAAAGAAAAAAGCCAAGACAAATTGTCATTTAACATATAATACAAAACACTTAGATATTCATAATGTAAATTCTAGTAAAAAATTATACAACTTTAAAACGTTTGTTTTGTAGTAATTCATCCTGATGCTTATCTTTTAAATGCAGTTCCAGAAATGACACTTTAAAGTTTGTGCTATAATCATGTAAGAACAAAAAATGTTCTATAATTGTTATTAAAAAGTTTTTAAATCTTAATGGCACAGTGAATGCCACTTCTATTTTCAAAGAATAAATATTTATCACTTGCTTTTTCCATCTCTCTTTTAACTGTTCCTTAGATTCAACTTTATAAATTTGTATTGTATGGATTTTCAGAATTTTTTAAAGGTTTACCTTTGTTTCTTAAAATGACAAGAATTATTGACTGAAGGTCACAGTTAATGCAACAGCTGTGAGGTTTGTGTGACATGTGTCTTAGTTTTTGTCTTTAGTTAGTCTTTAGTTTTGGTACTTTTGTGATGTGATTTGTTTTTTATATGGATCAATGTCTCTGAGAAATACAAGATTTTTGATAAAGGGAAAACATATTCAAGAAATAATGCTGGAGCATGTCAACAATGACCTTGAACTTTGCACCCCCCAAAAAGTACAACGTTCAAATGCATTCTCAAAAGTACTATCAGTGGCAGGGCCCTACACACCAAGATTAATTTGGAATGTTAAATATAAACGAACCTGTATTGGTTCCTTGATTTTAAACATAGGTTTAAGTTCTGGAAAGATAAACATCATGTATTCTTTTTCTGACACTTGTTCAGCCATTAGTAATATACTGGGTAAAACAAACGGAATCATATCTGCATTCACACATTCTTTGGTTAAAGCTGGTAATATTCGTTGTAAATTTACTCTCTAAAGAAATTAACAAAAACATCTCATTAGTTCGTTTTAATTTTGAAATTCTTATAATAAATAGTTGGTGGCCAAATTCTGTCAGTATACAGGTACACTTGTCCTTCTGTTAACATCAGAAAACTAGAGGCTCTAAAGAGCCTGTGTCGCTTACCTTGGTCTATGAGCATATTCAACAAAGAACAGCCATCAGTATTATAGACGAGAATAGAATTCATGACAAAATCTCTGTTTTGATGATCTTGTAGTCTGTATAGTTTCTCTCTATCTTCTTTAGTTTTTGCTCAATACAAAATAAGAGGGCAAAAAAAAATCCTCATTTAAGGACAATCACTCCAATAAAGAGTGAGTCTTCTAACTATAAGGCAAAAACGCAAAAAAAAAAGGTAAAAATCGTCATCAAAGTGCAAGGAGTCGACTGATGATTTCGACCATCCAGACTTATTTGTAGAACTTGTCTTGCTGATCATTTTTGCAATTTAAAGATTCTCTCTATCTATTATACCTTTCAAGATAAATAGACAATAAAATGCTCCGCAGGGCGCAGCTTGATACGACCGCAGAGGTCGAACCCGGAACAGTTTGGGCAAGTATGGACACAACATTCAAGCTTGATACAGCTTTGCATTTGGATTGTGATTAAATATTTGACACAGCATAGGTTTCTGACACAGAATGAATGTGGTCTAAGAACTTAAAAATTTTAAATTGGACATTCACCTATTATGGTCCAATATCCAAAATCTAAATACATGGTTAGATTCAGCATATCAAAGAACCCCAAGAATTCAATTTTTGATGAAATCAAACAAAGTTTAATTTTGGACCCTTTTGACCTCAATGTGGACAAAGTTGATAACGGGGCCCAAAAATCAAAAATCTAAATACATGGTTAGATTCAGCATATCAAAGAACCCCATATATTCAATTTTTGTTGAAATCAAACAAAGTTTAATTTTGGACCCCGACTTGGACCAACTTGAAAACTGGGCCCATAATCAAAAATCTAAATACATGTTTAGATTCAGAATATCAAAGAACCCTAAGAATTCAATTTTTGTTAAAATCAAACTAAGTTTAATTTTGGACCCTTTGGACCTTAATCATGTTAATGTAGACCAATTTGAAAACAGAACCAAAAATTAAGAATCTAAATACACAGTTAGATTCAGCATATCAAAGAACCCCAATAATTCAATTTTTGATGAAATCAAACAAAGTTTAATTTTGGACCCTTTGGACCTCAATGTGGACCAATTTAAAAACGGGACCCAAAATCCAAAAACTTAATACACGGTTAGATTCAGCATATTAAAGAACCCCAAGAAGTCAAGAATAAAACCCCATTGAAATTGGTCAAGAAATAAGCAATTTATACGAAGTATCTTCTTTTGCACAATACTGTGCAATTAAATATTTCTTGCTATTGCACAATACTGTACAATTGACAATTCCTTGCTATTGCGCAATATTGTGCTATTGGATATTTCTTGCTATTGCGCAATACTGTGCAATTGAAGATTTCTTGCTATTGCGCAATACTGTGCAATTGAAGATTTCTTGCTATTGTGCAATAATTTCTTGCTATTGCACAATACTTATTATATAATAATTTACACATCCTGTTTGGTGTGTATCTCCTACCATATCATTATTATTTGCTTTTAAATATAAATCAGAAATAACCAACTTAAAATGGAAAATTTTAAAAGAAAAAAAAAAGGAAACCCCCCCCCAATTTTTTGAACCCCCTTATGATTCATCACCCCCAAACTCAATCCCAGCCTTCCCTTTGTGGTATGGTACCTTGCAGAACAATTTCAGAGAGATCCATACACTTGAACACAAGTTATTGTCTGGAAACTAGAAAAATGTGTTTTTTGGCCCCTTTTTGGCCTCAAATTCCTAAACGTTTAGGGCGATTACCCCCAAACTCAAACCCAGCTTTCCCTTTGTGATATGAAACCTTGTAGTACAATTTCAGAAAGATCCATACACTTACACACAAGTTATTGTCCTGAAACTAGAAAAATGCTTGTTTTTTGCCCCTTTTTTGCCCCTAATTCCTAACACATTGAGGCAATTACCCCCATCATCAATCCCAGCCTTCCCTTTGTGGTATGGTACCTTGCAGTACAATTTCAGAGAGATCCATACACTTGAACACAAGTTATTGTCTGGAAACTAGAAAAATGCTTATTTTTGGCCCCTTTTTGGCCCCCAATTCCTAAATGTTTTGGCAATTACCCCCAAACTCAATTCCAGCTTTCCCTTTGTGATATGGAACCTTGTAGTACAATTTCAGAAAGATCCATACACTTACAAACAAGTTATTGTCATGAAACTAGAAAAATGCTTGTTTTTTTGCCCCTTTTTTGGCCCCTAATTCCTAAAATTTTGAGGCAATTACCCCCAAAATCAATCCCAGCATTCCTTTTGTGATATGGAACCTTGTGGTACAATGTCAGAGAGATCCATACACTAACACACAAGTTAAGACTGGAAGTTACAAAAATGCTTATTTTTGGCCTATTTTTGGCCCCTAATTCCTTTACTGTTGGTACCATAACCCCCAAAATCAATCCCAACCTTCCTTTTGTGGTATTGAACCTTGTGGTAAAATTTCATAGAGCTCCATTTACTTAAACTAAAGTAAGAGTGCGAAAACCAATGTGTCTTCGGACGACGCCAACGTCATACCAATATACGACCACAAAATTTTTTTTGCGGTCGTATAAAAATGACAAAAAAATGGTACAATTTGTCATTTAAGGGCAATAATTCCTATAAGTCGTCATCTAACAGTTTTGACATATATGGACAATTGGTAGAGCTCAACATTCTGAACATTTCTGGCAGGCAGAGTCATTGGAAACATTTTTAAAACCAGATACCCAATGATGATTGTGGCCAAGTTTGGTTAAATTTGGTCCAGTAGTTTCAGAGGAGAAGATTTTCGTAAAAGTTAACAGACGACGACAGACGACAGATGACGGACGCCAAGTGATGAGAAAAGCTCACTTGGCCCTATGGGCCAGATGAGCTAAAAATCATTTTGTCTCATAATAATCAGGTTTCTTTTGCGACATTTAGCAATAAGATTTCTAAATGAAACTAACGCTTTATAATTTAATTAAAGAGAGTAAAATTACCTTTCATAATTTATTTTTTCTACTAAAAAAGATGAGCAAGATATATGAAGGGGTTAAACATTAGGTCATACCCTGAGAAACTATATCCTGGTATCAAGATAGTCCACCTGCATTGTCTTCAACATTTTTATCAATATAAATTTAAAGCGTAGTTTTCAATGACATAAAAAGAAAGATAAAATCAAATTTTTACATTTTACTTAAGAAACATGACATTCTTTTAATTGCATGTGGTTTAAAATTATTTAACAAAAGTGAAATCATGTAATTTGCTGACAAAATGGTAAACCACAATGTGTAACTTTGATTACATAATGTATTACTGTTAGAGGTCAATCATACATGTGGTAAGGAAAAATACTATACTGGTTTTTTTTCTACCTAAATTTCCTTTTCAATCATGTCTTTGAATCCCAGCTGTCATTTCTAATTAACTATTATTTCTAATTAACTTTTGGTTGATTAGTACTTATAACAGTTATCTAAAACTAGAGGCTCTAAAGAGCCTGTGTTGCTCACCTAAATCTATGTGCATAATCTGAATCAGATGGACTGTCTCCAAAAATGTAGACAAGGATAGAATTCATGACAAAAATTTCTTTTTTGTTGATCTTGTAATGCTGATCATTTTTTGTGTTTATTTTTCTCTCTATCTTCTTTTTTTCCTCAAAACCCAAAAGAGGGAAAAAAATCCTCATTTAAGGACAATCACTCCTGTAAAGAGTATCAGTCTAATAACTATATTGGCAACATTTGACTTGTTTGTGGATCTTGCCTTGATCATTTTTGTTATTAGAAGTTTCTAATTGTATATTATAATTTTTCTCATATAAGGCAAAACGCAAAAAAATATTAAAATTCAACATTAAAGGGCAATAACTCCAAAAAAGAGTTGTTGGAAAATTTCCTCCATTTGTCTGAAATGTAGATCTTGTCTTGCTCATCATTTTAGTCTAATTAAGTTTCTATCTATCTACTATAATTTTTAAGACATAAGGCAAAAACGCAAAAACATGGTAAAAATCGTCATTAAAGGGCAATAACTCTAATTAGGAGTTGACTGACAAATTTTGACCATCATACTTATTCATAGATCTTGTCTTGCTGATCATTTATGCAACTTAAAGTTTCTCTCTATCTGTTATAGTTTTCAAGATTAAGGGCAAAAATGAAAAAAAATTGGTAAAATTTGTCATTCAAGGGCAATAACTCCTATAAGAAGTCTCCCGATAGTTTTGACGTCAAGGAACAATTGGTAGAGCTCTACATTCAGTCAGATTTTCTCTATTAATAACGGTTTTCAAAAAAATAGATTTAATATGACTGATGATTTCAGCCATGTTAACTTATTTGTAGGTCTTGTCTTGCTTATCATTTTTCCTTGTATCTATTATAGTTTTCAAAATAATAGACAACAAGAATGTGTCCATAGTACACGGATGCCCCACTCGCACTATCATTTTCTATGTTCAGTGGACCGTGAAATTGGGGTAAAAACTCTAATTTGGCATTAAATTAGAAAGATCATATCATAAGGAACATGTGTACTAAGTTTCAAGTTGATTGGACTTCAACTTCATCAAAAACTACCTTGACCAAAAACTTTAACCTGAAGGGGACAGATGGACGAACGGACAAACTAACGGAGGCACAGATCGAAAAAATAATGCCCCTAGGTGGGGCATAAAAATGAAAAAAATTGATAAAATTTGACATTCAAGGGTTTTAACTCCTATGAGAAGTTGTCTGACAGTTTTGATATAAATGGACAGCAGGAAGATCTCAACATTCTCAACATTTTTGCCACAGTCAGATTTTCTCTATTCATAACAGTTTTAAAGATAATAGACAAAACTTTTGCCCCTATGTTCTATTTTTAGCCATGTCAGCCATCTTGGTCGGCAGGCAGGGTCATCGGACACATTTTTTAAACTAGATACCCTAATGATGATTGTGGCCAGGTTTGGTTAAATTTGGTCCAGTAGTTTCAGAGGAGAAGACTTTTGTAAAAGTTAACGGACGACGACGATGACAATGGACGACAAGTGATGAGAAAGGATCACTTGGCCCTTTTGGCCAGGTGAGCAAAAAAATGTGCACTATATTCTATTGAAAGTAGGGATGTCAACAAATACTTGAGTATCCCTCGGTAGTACTAAGTATCCAATACCAAAATGTTCTTTGAATAATCGGTTTCTTGTTAGAATGCTGTTGCCTTTTTTAAAATAAAATTAATTTTTATTGAGAGAGCCTCTCTGTTAATTTAAATAGATATAAATCTTTGATTAATCAAAATTAAAATATGTGTCAGATGTTTGCACTTAATTGTCATTTAAAGTTCCTCCAAAAGAAGTGGGTTATGCGCGAGAGCATCTATTCTGGGCTTAAAACTTTTGCTCATTAGCCATTCCCCCACATCTGTACCATCAGAGCATATATTTTTTGTCTGCAGGACTGTTAGTTACGTAACAAAGTTGAGAAACTGACTATGCCCACAAAAAGTTGACAGGATAATATTTCTAAATAAGAACAAATTCTTTGCACCCTGTGGTGACCCTCAGAGAATAGTTAAACACATCGGTAAGTTCTAATCATCACCCCTTTGTTAATTATAAAATGTGGTTTCTTTTACGATTAACAAATAATATTGCTTGATCTGAATTGACATTGTAATCATTTTTTCAATAGGAGTTTATTAAATTATTGATTAGATTATTGTGTACATAATTAGCACATGTAGTAAATGAACTATTAATTTTGGTATCAAATTCCTGGGACTTCATCTAGTCCTAGATGTCAATGTTGAGGGTTTTATGTCCATTAGACAAAAACTCACAATATGTAAAATGGGTATAATTTTGTGTTTTCATTTTGTTAATATTTTCCCGAGCTATACTCTAGTATCGCTCTGTAATGCCAACATGTACCTGATTAGTAATTCTCTCAGAGTTGACATCCCTAATTAAAAACCATTTTGTTCTACATGTATGTCTGCTATGAAATATATATGTATGCACGTTTGTTATAAAATTAAGAAAGTTTGCTGGTGAATTTAAAAATAATAAAGTTCAAAATAGTTTATATATAGTCATTATATATTGAAAGACATTTGCTAAAAAAATTAGATTAAACCAGAAAAATATAAGTTCCTGCAGTTGTTTGAAAATTCAAAAAATAATTGGCAGGAAATACTTCTCTTCTACCTTTTTCTTTATACATATTGTACATAGATGTTTTCACTATTAAAGTCTTTGAAGAAATAATAAGGCTTTAACCAGATTTTGCAAAAATGTAGTTTAAGATATTTTTAAAGAAGATATGAAAAGAAAAGTGGGGTATGCTGGGAAAATTTTTCTAATGCTGTTGAATTGAAAAAGTCAGAGGAGTCTTAAAATAACAAAAACTAGATGTCTGATATAACCAGCAAACACTCCCAAATATAGAAACACTGGAGTGAAGGTATTTAACGGTTGCTTTCTTTATAAACCAGCCAACAATTCTAATGCATTTCTTATTTAGGGATGCAATTTCAATTTCATAGCATCCATAAATAACTCCCATATACATCACAAAGCACTTCCCTTTTCAATATGTTATGCTTGTAGTCGTCTGTACATATTGATAACTTCAAAATCAATGTCTGATTTCTCAACAATTGACTAAAATGCAAATTCTATTAATGTGACTCAGAGAAAACTCTTATTAGAGGTGTCTGGAGAAATTACATACATATATTTCACTGAAGTATCTGACAGATTTATAGGTAATGCATTTGTAATGAGGAATGGAAAAGTTTCACTCATGACCTAGTTCCCTTTTATAACAAAAATCTCAACTAATAATATCTACAATGTTAATCAAAATTTGGAATGCATTATACATACGACTAATAAGGCCAAATACTTGAGTAAAGTATACTAATCTCCCTTCTCTGGATGAAATATGAATTTTAAATAAAGTCAACTGAAACTTGGGATTTTTTTCCCCTTGATAAATAACCACAATATTTTTTTGAATTTATAGATATACCTTTGGCAGTTTTTCTATAATTTTAGGTAATCCTTTGAAGAAATGTGATTTCTGCAGATTGTCTCTTTGGAACAATGTATCCATAAACTGCAATGTCATGGAACCAACATCTTCAAAGTATGGAATCTGAAAATAATCCAATCTATATTATAAATTCTCTTGAAAATGCTTTAAAGTTATATGCTACCAGAATTTTCACTCTCAATCCAATCATTCATGCAATGTCATTTTTACCCTAAAATTTATATAAATCAAATAAATGAAATACAGAATTCTTTAGAGGCATAAATAATAAGTAATTTATAGTGTGTGTGTGTAATACTGTGTGAGTTCATGGTTTGGGGCAGATTTTACACACAGAAAATCAAGGTTTTTCCAATGATTTTACAATGTTACTTTATCTTAAATGTGATTTATGTTATATAGTTTTTTTGTCAAAATTATATAATCTTAGTTTCCTTTTACAGTGCAAATTGACTAGTTTTAAAATCTGTTGAAGTAAGTACACAGGTGAATGAGATGACAAGATCAATTTCCAGTTTATAAAACAAATTGACTTCATAAACTGTGAACATTTTTTGATATGGTATTATTTAGTATTGTTTTATTTGTATCTGTGTTTTTGTTGTTTGTAATCAATACTGGTATAATTGAATAATGTGCTTTTGCTGGATTGATAAATTTTACTGTTAATTTTTCTAAGCATTTTTTGTTTGTTTCACAGGTTCTCACAAAAAGGGAGAGAGTAAAGTACACACAATAATAATCAACTTTCCAAAATATGTTAACCAATTTTCTTGAAACTTTCAATTACGATTTTTATTAGATCTATCTAAACACTCATCAGGTATTGTAATCAATATCATTCTAGATATAAGTAACTTTACTGCAGATTTGCCTTAGTTTCAAATGAACAAATTAAGCAGATTTGCTTGAGTTCCTTTTTAATTAACTCATAATTTTTTCTTAACTGTGGGTGATTTTAAACTTGACATAAGGTATGGACATTTGAAGACATATGTAAACATCCAGATCATGTAGATGTCTCTTTAAAAAAGTTTTATATTATTTTCAGATCACTGTCTCATTGATATATACATCCTTATATTCCTATTCGGTAGTGGGTATCTAAAAATTGTAAGCTAAAGCTTAAGCAGAAAAAAGTAATATATTTTGTATGTTAATCAATACATGTATGTATAAAAAAGGGACAGCAACACAACAGTATAGTAAAACTGCAAAAATACATGTACTTGAAAAATAAAGCAAAATGGTATTATACTTATAAATAAACTTTATATATATATATATACATGTATTTATTTTTAAATGTGTAACTGTATTGTCATTATAAAATAGTTTATTACCTTGGTCAGTTGGTCAGAATCTGGCCTGACAGATGGCTCTGTATTCAGTAATAATTTAACATATTCATGTAACTCTACAGGGACATTACCCAGCAATGATGACCTAAACTTTCTCAGCTGAAAAATAAACCATAATAACTCTTCAAATCTATTGACAAAAGAACATCTTAAAAAAGCTCAACAATTCTGATAGTCCAAGTTTTTTTTGCAAATTTCACTCATCTATGGCCAATTTGGGTTATAGCTGATACCAGGTTACTTGTAGTATACCACAACTTGTGATGTTACAGAAAATCTTATCTTGTCATTTTAAGATATCTTCGCATAAAGCAAGAATATGTTCCTTAAATGTTGTTGTCTAATTTTTCAAGGTGTAATCATCCTTAAACATGGTTAAAACCAATTCATCAACAACCCAGGAAATATAAGTCAACAGCAGGTACATTACCAACAACATGTTCACCAACCAGTGGTTAACAAGTACCAATTGCTTGCTCATCAGCCAATCACATCTGTAGTGTCAATTACCGCCTTACAACAGACTAGTACTAATAAACTGTTGACAAAGATATGTCTCGTCTGTCGGCATAAAATTCAGAAAAAGACAATCTGATGGACAGCAACATTGCTAATTAATTCAAAGTCACTGGACCATGAACTGGTGGACAGGGCCTTGAAATGGTCAACAAACTGAGATGTACCAACAGTAATGTAACTTTATAGAAAATATCATTGTCTAAACCATTAGTTTAACTTATCAATCTAACTTAAGCAGAAAACTTAACATTTAAAATTGTTAATTAATTGAAAGTCGCTGGACCATGACCTATTGGGGCACGAGTCGAAATAGTCGTCAAACTGATAGTAATGCATCTTTATAGAAAATATCATTGATATCCCAATTAGCTCCTATCAAATTAACTTAAGCAGAAAACTTAACCTTGAAAATTGCTTATTAATTGAAAGTCCCTGCACCATGACCTAGTGGGCAGGGCCTTGAAATAGTTGTCAAACTGATATGAACTGATAGTAATGCAACTTTATAGAAAATATCATTGATCTATCACAAGAAATTCTTTCAAACTAACTTAAGCAGAAAACTTAACATTGAAAATTGCTAATTAATTCAAAGTCACTAGACCATGACCTAGGGGGCATGGCCTCAAAATCGTCTTCAAACTAATATGTACTGATAGTAATGCAACTTCATGTTAAATTTCATTGATCTATCACAAGTAGTTCTTATCAAACTAACTTAAGCAGAAAACTTAAAATTGTTGACGTCAACAACAAAGACGTCGTTGTTGTTGTAGCTGGAAAAGCCATTCCTATGTCTCGCCTACAGCCACTTTTGTCGTAGGCGAGACAAAAACCAAATGCAGTCAGTTAATCAACAAATAAATATGACACACATAACACAGGGTATTATGATATGTCAACCATCTTTTTGTTTAGATGGAATATTTTGTAATGTGTGTTTTCCTTGGCAACTTTGGAAACAGTTTAGTTTTTATAAAAATTTCTACATCTGCCTCTACTCATCATGTTATTGTGATGTCCAAAAATCTATATATTCTCTATTCTTTTATGATTGTGGCCTGTCATGTATTTCATGAATAAAGAGATATTTCGCATATCACACTGAACAGAGTGTGATAAGTTATAAAACAAATGGAGAATGTGTCTATGGGCCACAGATGCCCCCACTTGTAAATATGCATGAGTCAACTTCCACATACAGATGCAGGATTCATGTAGTTAAGACAGTTTTGTAATTATAAGCATAAGTTTCATAACATTTGGTTGAGGCAAACTAAAGTTACAGAACGGAAACAACAGATTTAGCAATTTTTCCATTTATAAAGGGGCATAACTCAAGAAAGGTAAAAGTGACAACACCCAATTTCTAATTTGATCTGTGTTTTGTGGTAATAAGCATTGTGTATAAGTTTCATAACATTTGGTTCAGGCAAACTAAAGTAGGAGAAGGAAATGAAAAATTTCAGCAATTTTTGTTTATAAAGGGGTATAACTCATGAACGGTAAAAGTGACGCCAGCCAATTTCAACTTGATCTGTGTTGTGTGGTAATAAGCATTGTGTATAAGTTTTATAACATTTGGTTGAGGCAAACTAAAGTTAGAGAATGGAAACCATTTTGGGACAGACGGAGAGGACGGATGGACAAGGGTAACACTTAATGCCCCCTCTGCTACGGCGGGGGCATAAAAATGCATCCATTTGGTTAGCGTATACTGCAATGTTATTGTGACATTTCCATTGGCTATTCATTTGGTCAATGATGACTTTCAAAGGTCACAACACACTACTTTACCTTGAGGCAAAGCAGATTAGTGATTTCTTCAATAATATACAAATCACTTGCATGTTTCACCTGCAAATATTCTTTTTGTCATATTCAATTCCATTCTGAAGCGTACAAAAAGCTTTAAAACTTCTGATGTTAATGTTTGACACCAGAAGCGGACTTATGATGTCATACTGTTTAGGTGCAAAAGACAAGAACAAAGTTTTGTGGATTTGGAAATTCCAAGCAATCATTATCTTCTTTCAATAATAAAAATAAACTTGTCTAAAGCTCATTTATTATTATATTGAAATAAAATAACTTTCCTAATTCCACTTGATATAAAGCCTATAATGATTACAATAACTCAAATAAGTTAATCATAACTTAAGACAATATTTATATTTCATACTGTGATAAAAATAAGTGATACCACAAATTCTTTAATTTGGTTTACTTATCCTGAAACGTGAAACGAAATTGTGACGTTCTGTTGGCTATTTGTTAGGTCAATGATGACTATCAAAGTATGGTATATTTGATTAAAATCTTTCCCTTATAAAGTATTACAGATACCTCACCTCTTCAGAATATTTCTTGAACATGGAGAGCTGATTGTTACATTCATACAGTGGTTTACCATAGTTAAAGATGGCATGGATTAGTACTCCTATAGAAAACATATCTGATCCTCTACAACATGTCATAGTTAGGGCAAACTCTGGGGCTAGGTAGTCTAAGCAGGGCTGGATTATTGAGGGTAAATCTGGATCCCATTCTCTGTATGGGAATGTTGGCTCAGCATTGACAAACTGCAAAGACAAACAAAAAAGCATAAAGGAAGATCTTTTTAATTCAAAGGATACTATAAAATATATTTTAATATCAACAAGAAAATGTGTCCATAGGACACCATGCCATGCACACATAAATCTCATTTCCATGTTGAGTAAAATACAAAAGCTGGATCCAAAACACATATTGTACATATTTTTTAAATGCTTTGGTAATATTTAATGGTATATTTCCCTTTCTTTCAAGTGAAGATGCAGTGGTCAACACTGAACAGATCCTATTGTGAAAGTCTACAAGCTTTCTAAATTAAATTTACAACCATATATAATAATGGTCATACATGAAACTCCAAGAAAAATATTATTCATTTAAATTCTTAGAAAACATAACTAATAAATCTGGAAATTTTTATTTGAATACTCTTACGATTTCCATGTATGTGTATCGAAAACCACTAATACTAAATCACTAAAAATAAAAAGAAACACCTCTTTGAGGTGTCAAAATTTTTCACTAAATTCTTTTTATTTTTCAAGCTCATTTTTGAAGTTGACAATAGTGAGAAGAAACATAAAATGTAAAGCCACTTATATTGGAAATAACAAGCACCTGTTATTACTTTTTCCATTAAAAGACCTTATTCCAATCTGATCCATTCCATTCCCACATCTAAAATCAATGATTTTTCACAACTTGATACTTACAGAAGGATCAGACTGTTGATTACTATTAGGAATACAACAATCAAATCCTGCTATTTTCCATGATCCATTCTTGTTTATAATGAGCTTGATACTTACAGAGGGATCAGACTGTTGATTACTATTAGGAATACAACAATCAAATCCTGCTATCTTCCATGATCCATTCTTGTTAATAATGATAGATTCTGGACATATATTACAATGAACCATCTTTACATCATTATGTAAAAAAGCCAATCCTTCAGCAAGCTATAAAATAAGGGAAAAGATAAATTATGAAAGCCTTTTAATGTTGTTCTCTTTGCACTTTCTTTCATAAAAGGTGTTATGAACAATCATTCTTTAAAAAAAAATTCAATAAGACATTATTTTCAGAGCATGATATGTCTTTTAAGATATATATATATATATATATACAGAAATATATGTTCGATGTTCAGTGCATAAAAAATTAACTTCTTGAAATCAGTTTATTTTCTCATTTTTTACCAATAAACTTCAAAGTCTTATGACTTTTTTCAGATTTATAACCAGAATGAGTAAAAACATCCATATTGATAATTATCTGAACCAGAAATAATCTTTACCACAATATAAATGTCTAAAAACAATCATCTGTCAAAAAACATATATGTTCAAGATAATTAATAATAAGAAACCTTATACACAAACAAACAGTCTTTCAGATTATCTTTAAAGTAAAAATAAACTGTTGACACAGTCATATGTCATGCCTGTAATGTAATTTTGATAGTAAAATGTAAATGTTGGAATTGAAGTGGCAACACTTTAACAATGAAAAAATTCGAAACTAATGAACCATGACTGAAGATGCAGGGCAGAATAAGCTCTGTGGAAATGGGAAAGGAAATGCCAATGCCCATACAACTGCATTCCAAGTATCATTAACCTACCACTAGTGATTCCCAATAAACTGACCTAATATAAAATAATACATTGTTGATGCCACCGCTGTTAACAGTATGCTTAAGTCTTGTTTTTTCAACCTTGTTGAGGCAAGACAAAAAACCTTTGAAAGTCAAATCCAAATCTGTTTTACCTCCTTTCAATGAAAAATGAGCTCACCTGTAGCAAGCCATGCTTGATCTCAACTTCATACAATTTATAGTCTTTGAAGTCTGCAGGTAATGGAGTTGGCATATTATCATGCTTATTCAATACATTGGCTAAACAGGAAAACACTGGTTCTGTAGCAAAGGCTAAAGTTTCCCTGAAAGGAGAAAGTAGTAGTTAAAAAGATAATAATCTGCTTCGATGAGCGCAGCTGGATACGCCCGCAGAGGTCCAACCCTGAACAGTTGGGGCAAAAATGGACACAATATTCAATATACAGGTCTGAATTTGGATTGTAATTAAATATTTGACATATTATAGGTTTCTGAATAAATGTAGTCAAAGAACTTGAAATTGGTTATATGAATTGAATTTATATTCAATTCAAGATTTCTTGCTGTTGTGCAATACACTGTGCTGTTGCGCAATACTTAGTAAATCTGTTGTCAGACTATAAACAAATAAAGTTCAATTTCTTATCAATGTCATATTTGAAATTTATGAAAATCAATAGGGAGATTACATCAATAGCTATAAATAATTCACCAAAGTTTCAGGCGAACTGCTTAAAGCATTTTTGAGTTATTGTCCAAAAACAGGAAAATGCCCCCTTTTTTAATGAATAAAACCCCATAACTCAGAAATGTAATAAGTAAAATTATTAAATTCTAAAGGGAGCTTACATCAACAGATATAAACAATTCACCAAAGTTTCATGAGAACTGCTGAAAGCATTTTTTAGTTATTGTCCGAAAACTGGAAAATCCCCCTTTTTTATAAATAAAACCCTGTAACTCATAAACGTAAAATCTAAAATTTATAAAAATCGAAAGGGAGCTCATGTCAATAGATATAAACAATTCACCAAAATTTCTTGCAAGTTGGTGAAAGCATTCTTGAGTTATTGTCGGATAACTGGAAAATTCCCCCTTTTTTAATGAATAAAACCCCAAAACTCAGCAACGGTAAATCTGAAATGTATAAAAAACGAAAGGGAGCTCAAGTCAATAGATATAAACAATTCACCAAAGTTTCATGCATATTATTTAAAGCGTTTTTTGAGTTAATGTCCTACATGTTGACGAATAAAAAGGAATGTTGGTTAAGCTTTGATTAAACAACATACATAAATTTGCCTTTTCAGAATCTGATGCATTCTGGGTAATAGTTTCTAAAGTGTACACCAAAATGTAGAGATTGGCACATCTTATACAATGAGTTTACAAACAAATAAAATTACCAATAATCCTTTTGATTTTTGAAATAGACATCTACTACAATTTAGAAACTTCAACAAAAGTCATAAATGTTAACACAGAGATGTATCTGATCTGCTTTGATTGATTCTTTGTTATTTGCTTCATTTCCAGTGGCAAAATTTATACCCTTTGTTATCACTGCATATACAAAATAGAGGATGTCCCTTTTATAAGTACTTATAAAGCTTACCAGATCAGAGATCTCAAATAATTTTTTAGAAAGAAGTACATATACATACGTTTACCATTAGAAATATATATTTATCTACATCATGATCAAGAAGTTATCTATTAAAAGGAAAAACATCCATGAACAATATACTTGTCGTTCTGCTGAGATGCAGAGAAAAATGTAGTTGGTAGGTCAGTAAGTTTTAATTTCAATAAAATATAAAGTATACATCATAAAATATGTGTGAAATTTTCTTAAGAGGTATCTTTTGCTATTTATATAAAATTGTGAATAATTCCTGTGCCTAAATGTCATCTTTATGATAGATATAAATAAAGGATAAGAAATTCAGAAATCATGAAACTGTGCAAACAGTTTTGGTCGTGATATCTTGAAATTCAAGTGCTGCAAATAATACCTTTTACAGTAACAAACACAGAGGGATTTTAACTACAAAGGAATATTCCAATATGGCTAAGGACTTCATAGTAAGTGGTAGAAATTAGGAAAAATTGGTGAACAATACTACAAGTTACATTACAACGCTTGTAAAATAAAGTTCATTTACAAATAAATTGAGAACATCATTTTACCTTGATTCTTCTAATGGATGTAAAACTGACAATATTTTTGGATGTCTCAATCTTGTCAGTTGTGATATGCCTTTCTTAAGTGTCTCTACAATCAGTTCTTTGTCTCTTCGGGAATATTTCTCAAGTAATTTTTTTTCGAATACAAAAACTGCAGCCTCCTGTTAACAAAAAGAGTTAAAAAGTTCCAGGAGAGTATTAGGTCATAATAGTACAATCTTCTATATGTTTTGTAAGAGATGCCATTAACTTGCTTGTTTTGGTAACAAAAATTGACTTTTACTGATTCAGATGATCTATCAATAACTCACTAGTTCAAAAGTACCTCATGTCATGTTCTCGTAGTTTTGCATGATTTTTTATGCCTTATAATTTCATAAGTTTTTAACTCATATCTCACCTACTGATAGGAATTAAAGCTATTCCACAATTGAATATAATGGGGAAGAGGAGGGGTGATTATGTAAAATAGATAGCCTTAACAATTATAGGATTTTTATACATGGCAGGATGAAATGAAAAGTGCTTTCTAACTCCCCATTCATTTATTTCTGTAACAGGCCTTACTTGAATTCAACAAGAAATTACAATGTTTCACAAATATTAATGAATTGTCTAGTTTACTGTACTCGAGTGAGAAATAATATCACTTGATTTAAATGTACATGCATTGGCCATCATATACATGGCAGCTGTATTATAGATATGAATTATATGGTCTAATTATATATCTAAAAAAGGGCAAGTGTTCATTTGTGTAAGTAAGGTAAGGTTTGAAATTCTTTGTCAAATATTTACCATGTTTTTAAAATTATTTGATGAGTAATGTGCAGTACGTATATTTGCAATTTTCTCAAATTTTGATTACATAAATGATACACTGTCATGTTCAAAGTTGATATTGCTAAAGGCATAAAACGAGAATGTTTAAAAAAAACATATTTTTTTTTAATAAATTATTTTTGAGTAACATGGGCTTTATTAGTTTTCATGATGATAATAAATGACTAGTGTAAAATGAAATTTCACATTTATGAATATATACTGTAAATTCAGAAATTAATGTACAATTAACAAATATTATTGCAAATTCTTGACCACCGGCAAAAATGCATAGTCTAAACACTAATTAATGCGATTGCAAAAATTATCAGAAGGAAAATCACTACTGAAATAATGAATGCCAGTTCTAATTATTACGAACCTGATATTGTCATATTTTTTGCAATAATTTCTGAATTTACAGTAAACAAATGCTTAATACAATGACAAAATTTTTAACAAATTTACTTTAAAGAAGTACATCCCACATTTACTTCCCGTCAAGCATTTTCACGTGTTTGGTAGTTTACTTTAAAGGAGTACATCCCACATTTACTTCCCGTCAAGCATTCTCACCTGTTTGGTAGTTTACTTTAAAGAAGTACATCCCTCATTTACTTCCCGTCAAGCATTCTCACCTGTTTGGTAATTTACTTTAAAGAAGTACATCCAACATTTACTTCCCGTCAAGCATTCTCACCTGTTTGGTAATTTACTTTAAAGAAGTAAATCTAACATTTACTTCCCGTTAAGCATTCTCATCTGTTTGGTAGTTTACTTTAAAGAAGTACATCCCACATTTACTTCCCGTCAAGCATTCTCACCTGTTTGGTAGTTTACTTTAAAGAAGTACATCCCACATTTACTTCCCCTCAAGTATTCTCACCTGTTTGGTAATTTACTTTAAATAAGTACATCCCACATTTACTTCCCCTCAAGCATTCTCACCTGTTTGGTAATTTACTTTAAAGAAGTACATCCCACATTTACTTCCCATCAAGCATTCTCACCTGTTTGGTAATTTACTTTAAAGAAGTACATCCCACATTTACTTCCCCTCTAGCATTCTCACCTGTTTGGTAGTTTACTTTAAAGAAGTACATCCCACATTTACTTCCCCTCTAGCATTCTCACCTGTTTGGTAATTTACTTTAAAGAAGTACATCCCACATTTACTTCCCCTCTATCATTCTCACCTGTTTAGTAGTTTACTTTAAAGAAGTACATCCCACATTTACATGATTTACTTCCCCTCAAGCATTCTCACCTGTTTGGTAGTTTACTTTAAAGAAGTACATCCCACATTTACTTCCAGTCAAGCATTCTCACTTGTTTGGTAATTTACTTTAAATAAGTACATCCCACATTTACTTCCCCTCAAGCATTCTCACCTGTTCGGTAATTTACTTTAAATAAGTACATCCCACATTTACTTCCCGTCAAGCATTCTCACCTGTTTGGTAATTTACTTTAAAGAAGTACATCCCACATTTACTTCCCCTCTAGCATTCTCACCTGTTTGGTAGTTTACTTTAAAGAAGTACATCCCACATTTACTTCCCCTCTAGCATTCTCACCTGTTTGGTAATTTACTTTAAAGAAGTACATCCCACATTTACTTCCCCTCAAGCATTCTCACCTGTTTGGTAGTTTACTTTAAAGAAGTACATTCCACATTTACTTCCCGTCTAGCATTCTCACCTGTTTGGTAGTTTACTTTAAAGAAGTACATCCCACATTTACTTCCCGTCAAGCATTCTCACTTGTTTGGTAATTTACTTTAAAAAAGTACATCCCACATTTACTTCCCCTCTAGCATTCTCACCTGTTTGGTAATTTACTTCAAAGAAGTACATCCCACATTTACTTCCCCTCTAGAATTCTCACCTGTTTAGTAGTTTACTTTAAAGAAGTACATCCCACATTTACATGATTTACTTCCCGTCAAGCATTCTCACCTGTTTGGTAGTTTACTTTAAAGAAGTACATCCCACATTTACTTCCCGTCAAGCATTCTCACCTGTTTGGTAGTTTTCTTGATAGCATTATAAATTTTCCAGACAAGACCAGGACCACCACTAGCTATATGATTTAAAACATCAAAATCTTTAGACAAAGGGTTTCCCGGTAAAGCACTGCTTACTGCACTTCTTAGTTTGTTAAACATATCCATTGTTAATTTCTTCTGTATGTTCACATGCAGATCATATACTTCACTAAGTCCTAAAAATAAAAATTATACACATATAAATGTATTCAAACTAACATATTCATGAATGTTCATGTAAAGCACAATTTTGAAGCATGGACATTTTTTTCCATTCAGGTAACATCAATTCCAGTGTTTGTTCTTTGATTTGACCAGAATCAAAGTTTTTAAGCTCTTTTTCTCTGTCTAAAAGCTATTTCTTATAATTGTAAAATGTGAAGGCATTCAAAATCTTATTTTATTCTCTCTAAAAGCCATTTTTTATTGTACCAATATATTTTTATATCAGGAGACTTGTTGAACCAGAACTTTAAAGCGAACTCATCAGGAATCATAGGTACATTGTAACTTGCTTCTGCTAACTAACATCAGAATAACAATTTGTTAAAGACATGGTGTAGAATTCTTTCTTACAAAGTCATGGCTTATTTCTGTATAACAAACTTGTCTCATTGGCAATCATACATTTTGTACATTTTCCTTTTTTTTTTATATTATCAGATAAACTGCTTTGCCTAGCGCAGTTGGATATGACCGCAGGATCCAACCCTGAACAGTTGGAGCAAAAATGGACACAATATTCAAGCTTGATACAGGTCTGAATTTGGATTGTAATTAAATATTTGACACATTATAGGTTTCTGACACAGAATAAATGTAGTCAAAGAACTTGAAATTGGTTATATGATTTGAATTTATATTCAGTTGAAGATTTCTTGCTTTTGTGCAATACACTGTGCTGTTGCGCAATACTTAGTAAATCTGTTTTCAGACTGTATACAAAGAATTAGCAAAATAAATTGTGAAAAAAAATTGACAGTTTCTTAAATCTTGAGGAAAAAAATTGATCCCCCTAAAAAAACTTTTGTTTGCCTCCCCCCTTTTGGGCCCCTAATTCCTAAACAGTTGGGACCATCACCCCCAAAAACAATCCCAACCTATCTTTTGTGGTATTAAACCTTTTGGATAAATTTCATAGAGATCCATACACATAAACTAAAGTTATTGTCCGGAAACCAAATGTCTTCAAACGACGATGATGTGATAGCATTATACGCCAAAATTTTTTTGCATTCATATAAAAAACTGAATAAAATATGACAGGATTGCCATCTATTAATAGGGTTGGTGAGGTAAATGTGAAATTGTTATTGATTTTAACCTTATGCTATACATGCTCGGTTGGTTTGCTATAAATAAATATGAATCCATAAAAAAGAGCAGAAAGAGACCAAAGGGACATTCAAACCTAATAAGTCTAGAGAAACTGACAAAACCATGACAAAAACAAAAGGCACCAAATAGACAAACATGTTTATAAAACACTACATGGAGAAACTAAAGACTAAGCAACACAAATTGACAAACCCCACCAAAAACTAGGTGTGATCTCAGGTGGTCCAGAACTTGACCAGTAGGGTGAGCCTATCCTGCTCTTCTAGTGGCATCTGTTGTCTTGCTCGTGGTAAGTACAATTATGTCCATTACATTATTTTACATATTACATATTTTACATTAACTCTCAAAGCTGAACTTTAATTTTCAATTTAATAGACTGTCCATCCTTTTGAATTTGACTTTAAAAGTTGTTGTCCTATATATATTATTAATGGGACTGCAAGTGTCCTCAAAATAAAAATGTGGCTACACTTAGTATCTTTGACAAGTAAAAATTCGTTCGACCTTCCTGAAATTAGCAAGATGTAAAACAGCAACAAATAACAGCACTGTTTCTTTAATATATTGGTTATAACAGTAATTTTTAATGACATTTGGTTTCTGTACACCATCCTATATCCCATTTCTTTCTTTCATTTACGGAAGTATTTTTTGAAAATACAGTATTAATATAGATACATGTATTGTAGAAGCATTTGTACATTCTTTAGTTTCGTATTATTTGATTGCTATTTTTTATAAAACCCTGCACCTCCTTTTCACGTTTGTTTTGGCTGGTTACGGACAACAGCCAATCGGATTGTCCTATTTGAATCTTGCTTTGTCTGGGATATATTTATCTACCAATCAGCTTTGATTTTTCAAATTTCCCAGTTTAACCTAATCCAATAAATTCAATCAAATTTATCTTGCACAGTATGCATCCCAGCATCTCGCAACATTTAAAAATTTTGCAAGCAGCAAGCAAGTTGTATGTCAAATCGATCAAGCATAATCCTATTTCTTTTCCCACCCACCGCTCCCTTATTTTCTAGTTTTGTGCGTTTTGACTCTATGTGCATTATTGTAGTTTTAGAATTTTATCCGCAGTGATTTTATATTACTGTGGAGAACCACAGTTTGACTTACACTTTCAGTTATTCATGTTTTAAAATTTTGTTTATCATGCATATACATTTGTTCATGTATTGTATATTTCTTGCCTTATTTGAAATTTTAACTATGCTTAATAAACTGTGGTTAGCTTTTCCCAAACCTGTCTTTGTTTACATTTATATATTATTTCACCATTACTTTATGTTCTGCTTGGCCACTGTATCCATGCCGGTTACCGGTGTGGTGTATCCAACCTTGATGTATAAGTTTAAGATACATCAAGTGATGGCAGGGAGGCAAAGAAGAAGTAATGCTGTGTCCTGGCAATGATATATGCTCCTTTACATTGCATCTTATGATATCTACATATGTCATCGGGTGCTGCGTGGCCTAGGGTGGATGCCTGTATAAGGGGGGTCTCTTAATGTATCCTAAGATTAATAGTTACATGTAATACATGCTATTGTCTTATGATACGACACGGCTCAAAATAGTGGAATCAGCAGTTGTGTGCCTATCATAAACATGCAGTCAATGATCTAAATTTCATGATGTCAAGAGAAGTCTAATGAACACAACTATCATGGAAACATTATTTGTCTGTTTGTCTTTTTATTTTTGGCCATGACGTTGTTTTGATCTATGAGTTTGACTGTCCCTCTGGTATCTTTCGTCCCTCTTTTTTAATGTTACTTCTTTAAGGTACATGTACCAATCATTTTTCCTGACTTTTTCTTCATGCCCCTGTTGCTAATTTCTATGATCTAGATATCAAATACAAATCTGGAATGGTGCAATTTTCAATCAACAGCATTGCCCTTTATTAGTTATATATAGAGCTGAATTCTTTGATTCATCGTTTTTATGTCATGCCGGCTAACAAATTGGAAAGTACCTACGCCTTATTTTAAGTATTTGTATTGTCATCTGATAAGTCATGCTGATTATAAGGTGCACAGTTTTCTCTGCTTTCAAAATCTTTCTGTTTGAACCCATCTGTTTTTCTTACTACAACCTATTTAGGAATTTTATAATTTCCTGGTTTTTAAATTTGGGGGTCAAAAATGTAATTGCAGTTCATGCCGTTTCTATCCAGTGCTGCCTCATAGCTGAAATTTCTTTCTTTTTTATTTCTTGCCTTTTGCTCTGCTTTTTTTTATAGATTATTATATATCAGTCAGGGGTACTACTTGAACAAGTAATCTTTATTTACTTAAAGAAGTAAATAAAATATACTTATATAAGTTAATTATAATGTTTGAATAATCTCCGCTTAATTTTCTCAAAAATTTACTTGTATAAGTAATTTTTTTTTACAATCCCACAAAAATTCTCAAGTTTTGAGATGTAAAATCATGCCTTTAACAAATTTTCTCAGGTTAGCTCATAATTTTTGATAGGAGTTCAATGTTTCATCTCATTAATTCAACAAAGAAACTGATTGCGCAAAGATCTTAAGTATTTGCCAAGGCCTTCAAAAATTGCCCCTTGGGGGCTTGTAAATGAGCAGTGTTCTGAAGATGACAGACAAATGAGATTTTCATTGTCCATGAAATTACACTTAAATGATTAGTAAAAACATCTGCAAAGGACAGACAATCAAAAATTCTATTAGAGCAAAGAAGTCCTAAGAATTCAAGAAAAGAAGAAAGGATGATTTTTTTTACTTGTATAAGTAAGACCTTTGTTTGGAAATTCTGAACAGAGATGCAGATAAATTTTTTTCCGTCAGACATTGGGTCCTGCATGCAAGACAGTTTTGCCAGTCCTATCAACTGTTTGCTAGACCTACTTTTTTTGGAAAATAATGTTTATTTCCCAGTTGGATTAAGATACGTTGGCCCCTGGTGACATATGCCTTAAAACCTTGACTAGAACGACCAGGATAAATAAGGATACATGTATGACCATGGGGTGGTTTAATGACTGACACCACATTCAATTTAAATTATCCTGCAACATCAAATAAATAAATGAGAATGTTGTACTACACTTGCCAATAAGACAACTATCCATTAACTTTATGGATAGTTGTCTTATTAATTGGCATAAGGACAATTAGATCAAAAACGAAGACAGTGGCAAGCTACATATAAGTCAAAACGAATATGTATGTTCACACATTAACTAAAATGAAAAAAATACTCTTAGAAAGCTAAAATAATACTTGTTTTTGTTCAATTCAATTTACATAAATCTGGTCCTTAATAGAACTTTTGGTTTTTAATGCTTTTCAACTACATGTACATAATTGATTTGGCCATCTATTGTTCCAACTGCTTTAATTCATGCACCACTGATTTGTCATACTAACAATGTTCTTGTCAAGGCGTGTATTCGTGCCCTGGATGCATGGTTTTCTGTCTGGACACACCATTGCATGAACCGCGCATCCTGATAACACTTGTATTGTAATCATCAGAATTATTTCTCAGCTATCAAAAAGAAGCTGAAAACATGCTTCTATGCAATATTTTTACCGGAAATTTACTTTCGTTTTCATCATTGCTAGCTGTAATCATGGTAATGATAAATCCAGAGAAATAGGAAAATAATTATGATCACATGACTTACGCTAATTAGATAAACGCAGAGAAGATCGAAATCTGTTTACATCAGCTGCACATTGACCTATTACCGGCAATAAATGTGTCATTAGAACTTTTGGTTTCAATACTTTTAAACTATATAATTGATTTAGAAGCCAAGGTCACCAGGACCAACAGCAATTTCAATTTTGACAGCCCCAAACAGTAAAAATATTTGCCGGTCATTGGGTCTGACACAAAGATGTCATTTGCCGGACCCTCTAAAATTCTGCCCCTTATGTCTGACAGGTCCAACGATTAGCTGCATCTCTGCTGAACATTGCTGTTTGAGTCTGTTGTAAATACTTATTAGAATTGTGTATTAAGGAATAATTGGTTGTCATATTTACTAGTGTCCCTTTTAAGAATGGTACATGTACAATGTAGCTCATTCTTTTCAGAATGGAGGGTGGTTTATTTTGCCTGTAGTTTCTGATGACATTCACGACAATATGGTTCAAAATACTGCTAACAGATATTGATTGATCCAGTCTACAACCTGACACAATAAGATCATGTTGTATTTATAAATTCTCCCTTCCCAGCAACAAAATCATTAAGACAAATGGTGAAATGGCAATCTTCACAAGATGTTGTTACTATACCATATATATATATATAATGTGGTATCGTAGTGCATCTTTGGTGTGCTTGATTTCGTCACTATTATAATAAGGAGTAATGGACTTCTTTTGCAGTGAACTCCCAATCTCAATTGGAATAATTTATCCTTTTTTTTTTACTTTTAGAAATTATAGACAGCCGGCAAGAAACAACTTAAATCATTAGAAATTTCTCCATTGAGGGTTAAGCATTTCATCTGAAATCAATAAATTAGGTATGTGTAATTACTTTATATGGTGGGTGTATTTGTACATCGAAGATATATGCTATACGCACTGAAAATATTATTCGATTTTTCTTGACGATGTGGGGTGCGCCATCTTGATATGTAAGAAATAAACATTTACGGGAACGACGCCGTCTTTCCGGAAATATAGTTATTTTGTAGTGCACTTTAGGGAAGCGCACTTAGAGACGTCTGTTAATACCCAGTCAGTCTTTTATGTATACATTTGGGTGTCCCAATGATCTGTAGGTATATAATGTATACAACTGTTCGTGTCATTTAAATTCCAAACTTCAAAATAGAGTATAACAAATGCAATAACTGAAAGTTGGTATAAGTATAGTGGATGAAATTTCTACAATGATATTATGACGATATTGTAGAACATAATTAGTCTTGACGTGTTCTCGCAATGCTGTCCAGTTGAAAGTATTTTTCATTCTGATACCGGCTACCGATTTTGTGGTATCGATTGCAGACTTATCATAATCTGGTAGCTCTTCCTCTGGCCATCTCAATATTTGAAGTCTGCTCTGCAGAATGAGGATCTTAAACTGAGCATAAATTCTCCAGTTTAGGATTGGACAAACAAGTGCAATTTGCCTTTTGATGTTCTGGCTTGATGTTTTAAAATTTCTTTTTAGATCACCTAGTGATTTGTTACCATTGGCTACGATGTTCTATGTATGTTTTGATCGTTTATGGTGATTGTAGTATTATGCCCATATTTAGCTGAAGAAAAAGGTTCAATTTTGGGGTTAAGAAGAATGTAGTCATGTTTGTATGGTTTCTATTTTGTTTTAACAAAAGGAGAACTCTGCATTTCTGGTTGGAAAGCCATCAACCAGTAACTCTCCCACACAACTGGCTGCAGCATCTAAATCAGATTGCACTGAGGGGGTCAAGGTCATTTTAGGTTCTGATGTGTGAGTTTACTAGATGTCAAATATCCTGGTAAATCATTGATATATAAACTAAAATTAAGACTGTCAGATGACTCTCCACCATGCACATGTTTGTTTTCGTTGAGAAAGGCTGAGACCCAGTTTAGTGTTCCGTTTTGTATATCATAGATATGAAATTTGTATAATAATCGGTGATGAGGGACTTTGTTAAAGTCCATTATGATAAGGTCTGTTTGTATGTTACTATTGTTATTTGATGCTAATTTCTGTATGAATGAAATCAGTTGTGCTTTACATGATCTAGACTGACGAAAGCCATCCTGGAGATGATAAATATATTGTTCTTTTGAGATAAACGTCAGTGAAATAGATCGATAAATCTTTATCTTTTAGTTTTCTACCTTTTTGGATACAGTTGCTACATTTGCATGTTTTCAATCTGTGAGTGTTATTCCATTTTCTAGCGATGTTTTGAAGATGAGAGTGAGTATTGGAGCCGTTTGTTCTTTAAGCTCCTTTAATTTTCCGCATTGATGTTATTTGGACGACTTGCCTTGGAGGGATTTTATGCTATGGAGTATTCCGTGGTACTGATATTTCCAGTTGGGAAATTATATGATGTGAGTTTTTTTTATACCTATGTTTGGAATGTTGTTGTTTGACTTTATTGTAAATACTGATTGGAATTGTGAATTAATGCACGATTGGTTGTCATTTCCCACTTTCTCTGGCAGACTCTTCGCAAATGAAAGCGATGGGTTGAATCCAATTTAATTCTCTAGACCGTCGTCCCTAATCTTAACAAATGCAAGAGGTATTTTGGGGGAACAAATTTTTTATTATCACTTTTGTATACAACTATAACCTGCATTTTGTGGAAGCAGAATATTCATTGTAATCCTGTCTTTATTCACAAAGCACCAGAGGGCTATGCAAATTTGAGACAGGTTGTGCCAAAAGATCATAAAATAGAGGCGTGAGGACTACGTTTTACGGCACCAAACCTCCGACCCCGTCCACAAAGCAGCAATTATACCAGTTACAGAAACATGGCTCGACGAAACAATCACAAATGCTGAAATCTCCATCGATGGCTATTGTGTGGTAAGATCAGATAGATGCAGAAATGGCGGTGATGTGATCATGTTTGTTCGAAAAGACCTGGCATTTTCACCTAGATCAGATCTTCAATCTGACGATGTTGAGGCCCTATGGATTGACATTTTACTTCCAAAGACAAAGCCAACACTTGCTGTAACTGTTTACAGACCACAAAAAGATAATAATTTCTTAAATTTGTTTGAAAAACTATTAAATAAAATAAATCCTGGATATGAACTGTTTATTTTAGGTGATATGAACATTTACTTAATATATAAAATGTCTTTATTATGTAAAAACTATACTAATATGTTGAATTTGTTTAATTTAAAATAGCTTATAAAAGAGCCAACTAGAATAACATATAAAAGTAGAACCATAATTGACCATATTGTTGTAAATTGTGAAGAAAATGTTAGTCAGTCAGGAATCTTAAATATTGGTTTGAGTGACCATTTCCTTCCATGCCGTACAAGGAAAATTGGTAAAAAACTAATTCCAGTGGTAAAAATAAAAATAAAATAAAAATAAGATCCAATAAAACTTAGAATAACAATGAGTTTATTGAGAAACTCAATGCAGCACATTGGTCAAAATCATATATGTGTAGAAATGTGAATTTGGCTTTGGGGTGTATTTAGAGATATTTTTATATCAGTTCTCAATGAGGTAGCACCAATGAGGGAATTTAGGGTTAAAAAATACACAGAACCCTGGATTTTATCATATATTTTGGAACTAATAAAACATCGAGACCATTTATTATACATGTATAAATAAAAGAGGAATATGTCTGAGAGACAATTTATTATACATGTATAAATAAAAGAAGAATATGTCTGAGGACACGCATATCTACATATTTTGAGAACAAGATTGAAGAAAATAAGAATAGTCCAAAAGGTCTTTGGAAACAGTTCAAAAATTTGGACTATAGTTCAAAGCAGAAAGAAAATAGTAATGTAACAGAAATCGGTCATAGTTCATTTATTTTGATGTGAAATACCAATTGTCTTTTCCTATTTATTGTGTTTCTTTATGTAAATAAGTTTCTCCATAGTTGGAGCACCATCTGTTACTTAAAACACCCCTAAAATTGGTATAGTCTTGATTTTCACACCTTCAAGTATAATGGACCGTTCCAGATGGTAGTATATAAACCAGCTCAAGACAGAGAAACTTTGTCAGTTTTATGTGGACCGTTGAAGTGATAACATCACGGATTATATTCCAACTGGTAAGTAGAGTGAATTTAGTGATTCCAAAGGATATATATGAATAGTGTTCGGATTTATATGTGGATATTGCAATAGTGATTGTGATATAAAGTGAAACTTATATAATAAGTTATTGTACAGTGAAAGTACAAGGTGTATGCTTGCTGGTGTTGCAAGTTGTTGTATTGTGGAAGTGTATAAGTGAAAGTGCACTGTGTTAAACCTTACCAGTTTGGATAATATTCATTGTGTGGGAACTCAAAGGGATAGTTAGTGCGTGAGTTCAGCTGTGTTTATATATATATTCCTTGTGCATTGAAGGATTTGTGCATGTGTATTTGTGTCATTGTGTTATTGTGGTTAGTTGCAGACTAACAAGGTGATACTACATATTGGTGGACGTTGTAAATAGAAGTTGTATATATGTGATTTTGTGTTCATACGTTTTGTGTGATACTTACCTGATGCATGTTGCATATTAATCTGTTGGTGACATTGTGTAATAAAGGGCCTGTTGCATGTTGCATAGTGATCTGTTAGTGACATTGTGAATAAATCGGTCTTATACATGTTGCATAGTGATTGCATTGTGACATTGTGTATATATATTCAGTTATGAAACATTGTGTTTATGCATTGTGAATGAGGTACTTCACCTTGCATTTTGATTTATGTACATTGTATATATTTTGCGTTGTGAATCCATTTAAGGATGTGTTAATTGTTTTGAATAGGACAACTGGCTTCGGTGAAAAATTGAGTTGAACACTTGAGGTCCTGATTTATTCAGATACGGATCCATTGATCGCCCGTTACACGTTACAAATTTGGTGGCAGCGGTGGGATTTCATGTGTTTAGTTCGTTACTGTAAATTCATGTATGATTATACCAGTTGTAATTTTCAATGTTTTAAGTTATTGTCTTAGTTGTCATAGATCATTTCTTTTTAAGTAAGAAGGAACATTAAGTCAGTTGATATTGAAATGGCAGAAAATCTGTTTGATTCGGATATTGCAGTTTTAACAAGTGAAATTGAAAAATTGGAATACAGCTTAAGACACAGTTTTATGCCTTCAGCCTCTAATTCTTTCCAAAATGAAAATGATTCAGGAATTACAGATGGTGTTGAACTAATTACAGATACTGTAGTGTTTGGAAGAAAGTAGTCATGAGCCTTAAAAGAGGAAGCGTTTTGGAGGAAATGATCACTGTGAAGAGTAGATGATTAGATGTATCATATGTGTATATAGTGTACATAGAGTTTAAAGTGTGTATGTATGAGTCCGTCGGATGGGGACGTTAAATCCGAGGCCCCATGTACAGGAACATGTCACGCCCTGTGCATGTAAAAGACCCCTCCTGCAGATTTCGTTAAGAGTAGGCTCCTTGGGCCGCTGCAGAGGCAAAATTTGTTAGGGACCCTTTAAATTTATTCTTTGGCAGTGACGCTCAAAATTACAGACGTTAATAGGAAAGAGGTTAATGTTAGAAACAGGGATATTTTGAAGTAGGAAGTTTTAAAAAGTTTTATTCGGACAAAAAGAAAAATTCTGTGAATAGTGTTTGTGCATAAGAAGAAAGTTCAATATGTTTGATATGGCTGACTGGAATTTGGACATATAGGTAGACTTTGTATCTACGGGTTGTGCCTTGTGATGTCATCAGTTTAGACCTGATGGACAAAAGGGTAGCCTGACATTATTGTCGGATGTTATGGTGCCTGACGTTGTGGTCAGAAGATATATATGTAGTTGAAGATATATATGGTCAGAATCTTACCAAAGTTGTTTTGGTATTGTGAAGTGGCAAAGCGGGAAAAGGCTTTGTCTTGATGTATATATGTCCAATGGAAATAGTGCCTGCACTAT